ACCCTCCCCCAGGTCCCCTCCACCATGTAGCCCTCGCTCTAGTCTCCTGTGATGACAGAAATACCTAGTTATATATCTCTTTTAAACAGTTTTCTCCCTTACAGTGGATTAAAACTTAAGGGTGCAAACTAAAATAATAAAAAATGCTGGGATAACAAATAAGTATTTATATACCTTATGGATGGGGAAGAAGATACTGCAACCATGTCATCAAAGACAAATTCATAAGGATAAGCCCATCTGAATCAAATGATGTTGAAAACTATCGTATGCCAAAAGTTATTTTCAAATATCCTTAAAACACAAAATGTAAAGGGAGCTCTGGTGGCCTAGTGGCAAGAAGCTGCACTGCAATCCCAGAGGTACGTGGTTCAAATGCACCAGATGCTCTGCTGGAGAAGGAGGGGCAATCTCCTCCTGTACTAGTCAGATCCGATTTAACATAATACACACACACACACACACAATTTAAAATACCACACAAAATGTATGAATAGGTAATACTCAGAAAATATTAAAAAGATTGATATATCATGAATTATCAAAGACAGACAGGGTCAAGCCAGCACACAGCTTTGGCTTTAACTGAAGATTACCAATCTATCAACAGAGATCACCAGTAGGGGGCAGAACGGCAGTGGGGGTAAATTTTTCATTTTTCTCCCTGATGCTGTATGTACCACAGAGTCTGAACCAATCCAGAGCTGACCCTCAGGCGGGTTTTCAGAGGCAATTAATTGCCTAGGAGGAAACTGCCCATCATTCTCCTGTAGAGCAGCTGGTATATTGAAACCCAGAGCCTTCGGGACTACAGCCTGCTTCTTGTCACCAGAGCTCCCTACACCTGTGTACTGGCCTTTGGCCACTAGGCCTACTCTTTTGTCTTTCACTTTTGCACTTGTCTTCCTATGATTCCTGTTTCCATTCACCCATCTATTTTTTTCCACTTCTACCTTCTGAACTTCACATTTGGGAAAACGCTGAACTTTTGATCCCATATGTTTGACTGTTTGAAGGACTGAGTAGAAAGGTCACTGCTCATCTTAAAGCCTGTCTATTTGGCTCAAAGTGGTGTCACTAGGATGTGGTCAGTTACAGGTTAATGGGTGACGAAGGCCACAGTCTCTAGCCATTTTTACTCTTTTCTCTTTTTGTTTCACATAATTGTGATCCCTTTCAAAATGGTCATCAGTGGTGGCTGTGGACCATTCTGTTCTGGTCTCAAGGCTGTAGAGGTTGAGATGTATTTCCACTGTAAAGCCTTATAGACCCTAGCTGTTACTCAGCAAAGTATGGTCCTGAGACCCCAAGACCTGCCAAGTAGTTTTGGAGGGTTTCTGTTTTAATGTTAAGAAGTTCACATAACTTTGCCCATTTCTATGCTTACTACTATGGAAAAGAAGTATTTTCAAAGATAAATAATATTCCCTTAAAAAAAGCAGTAATTCCCAGTGTTTCAAGAGAGGAAAGGAAAAGGGCACGGATGTCCCTTAAGGAGAACCGGTACAATCCAGGAGACTGAAAATTTGAAGACATAGATAAAAAATGTACCAAGTAAGTATATTTTTCTTAAAAAATTTTTTTTAATGGTTTGCATACAATAATCTGTTTACATTGTGTTTCACTCATGTACACTGGTGGTTTTCCTGCCCACTCCCTGCACTCATCTGGTGATTTCCTTCCTCCCCACATTCAGCCCTCCTGTTCCCTTCTTCTCTGGATGCCCATAAATGTCTGTCTTCTTGTTTTCACAATTCCTTGTATTATTTGTTCTTATGGTGCCAAGTTAGTTCACTCAGCATAATACTCTCTACCGTTTCCCATGTTATATAATAATTTTTAAAAATTGTTGGAACACACTTTCTCAATCCAGTTGTGTGGGTTTTTTTTTGCAATCCAGTTGTTTGCTGACAGGTGTTTGGAATGTTTCCATTATTTTCTGGGTATTTTGAATGCTGCTGCTCTGAACAACAGTGTACAATCTCCGTTGGGGTCTTAGCTCTGCTTTCCTTGGCTTGCAGTAGAATAGCTAAACTCTGCCTTCTAGAGAGGGCTGTGCCTTTTTACAGTCCCCCCAACAGTGTGAGAGTTCCAATCTCTCCATACCCTCTCTAGTATTTACTGCTTGTGGTCCTGTTAAAACTTTGTCAATGCAACTGAGGTGAGGTGACATCTCATTGTGGCTTTGATTTGCATTTCACGTACCGCCAGTTTCTGAGCATTTCTTCATGTGTCTCTTGGCTATGTCTTCCATCATGAAAAGTCTTTCCGTATCTTTTGCCCATTTTCTAACAGGGTCTTTTTCTTGTCTGAGATGGCATTGTCAAATCTCTTTCTCTAGTCAGTAAATGTTCTTTTTTCCTTACTTGAAAAAGTTTTTAATGCACACAAGAGACTTAATCATTAAAAGGTTCCATCCATCAATGTTATCCTCTCCTTGTGCATTTTTGGCTTTATTTGCCAGCCTCTTTATACCACAGACTAGGCCTTTTAAGTTTTGCCCCATTTTGTCTCTTACGATCTTTATGGTTTTGGGCTTTACCTCTAGGTTTCTGATGCTCCTTGACTTGATTTTTGGGTATGGTGTGAGATGTGGATTCTGCCTCAACCTTCTGCAGATGGAAGTCCAGTTTTGCCAGGACCATTTGTTGGAGAGGCTGTCATTTCCCATTTGATAGATTTTATTTCTTTGTTGAATACCAGGTGACTATAGAAAGATAGGTTAATTTCCAGGTTCTTCATTCTGTTTCATTGGTCTATGTATCTGTCACTGAACCAGTACCATGCTGGTTTGGTTATTACAACTTGGTAGTAGATTCTGAGATCAGTGAGTGCTAGGCTTCTCATTTAATTTTTGTTTTTCAGAAGTACTTTGTTTATGTGGGGGGTGGGGTGGGGAGGGAGAAAGTGTGTATACACACACACACACACCCCCCAATCAAAAAACTGTAATTCTAAGAATTTTTTTCCTAAGGAAATAAAGATATTAAAAGTATTCATAGTGTACCCATCAACAAACGAATGGACAGAGAAACTATGATATATTCACACAATGGAATACTATGCTGTAGTGAAAAACAAAGAACTCATGAAAATTTATTCAAAATGGATGACCCTGGAGGACACTATGCTGACTGAAATATCTCAGTCACAAAAAGGACAAATACTGCATAGTGCCACTGTTGTAAAACGGGCCTAACATCTGGGCTGAAGGGAGACTGAGAAAGAGGGAACAAATAATGTATACTACATTGAAACAGATGAGGGAGAAAACGGTTTAAAAGCAATATATGATTAAGTATTATTATGATGACAGTAATCCAGAATGAAAGCTGCATAGTGGAGAATTTTTCTTTCATTTTTCAAAGAGAAAAGCGAATTGACGGGAAGGGCTGGGCAGGGAGAAAAATGAAATAATGAATGAATGGAAATCCAAAATCTCTATAAATGTTCATTAAAATTAATTAAGAAGTGTTCATAGCAGCAAAAAAGGCACTCTCTGGGTGTAGAGAGGGCTACCTACACATCTGTGGTCCTGCAAGGAAAGATGAGTAAGGAGTGACAAGGTGACAGGGAGAGAATTTCTTTAACTTAAGGGTTTGTTTAACTTAAGGATTTCCTTAACTCTTCTACAGCTGAACACCCTCCCACTCTGTGGTCACATAACTAGGAACTGAGCGACTCGTCTACTGGTGGCTACTTAGGGTCATTGTAGTTAATGTGCAAATATCACTGTAATGAACAATACATTTCTGCACATCAAATCTAGGAATGAAATTGTTGGGTCAAATTATGCACACTTAAATTAAGTCTTCCAATTTATCTGCAAAGTGGCAATGCCAATCAGCCTTGCTTGAGATACTAATGACATAGCAATCACACAGATGATAGATATATGACTTCTAATAAAGCACTGTATGCGCTCTAATACTTACCCATAGGCTCTTTAATAACACCATAATAATCTGGTGCATCATTAGGATCTACTGGTTCAAGGAAAGGCCAGGCCATCTTGTGAGCCTGTAATGAAAAACAGGCATTGTGACTGCCAGGTGGAAATACTGACTCTAAGTCATCAAGCTGAATTAACTAGTCTCTGAGTGAAAAGAGGCTGTATTCTGGTCCCTGACAACTTGCCATCTGAGTTATGTCAACGATAATCATTTCTGTAAAACTAGGGTGGGATAGGTTGAGCGCGGCATGCTTATCACTGGTGGTTAATGAAGTGGCAGAGACGTGACACTAAGTAACATTCAACCACAGACGGAGACTAGTATTCTCTCTTCAGCACCTCTGCTTATGATTAGTTCTGAGGAATGTTCCAATCTAGTGCTCTCTGTCTTGAACACATCTGTAACAGTAATTGTGCAACCCATTCCCACCTCCTTTTCATTTTTAGTTAAGAGAGGAGGTTTTGACAAAATGTATGGTAGTGAGACAAACTTTTCTTTAAAAAAAAAATTTAGGTTAAAAACAGTGAATTTAAAAAAAAAAACCAACACAAAAAACCCCAAACAGTGAATTTTTAAAAATGAAAGTGTTAGATAAACAGTGGCTGAGGTGGTGAGTTGCCATGGCAAACCTCAGGTAAGCAGTACAGGAAAGACTGACATTTGTGAAGCACTTTGCAAGATAAGTTTGAAGTCTAAAGAATTACCCACTCCAGATTGCAAAGTCCAAACTCTCGATGTGCTTATAAAGTTGTGCTGGCTGATTTCCCTTTCAAACATGACATCAGAGTGGATTCTCACCTGTAAGGAGCGCAGCACTCTCTTCAACCCCTCATAATCCTTCTCCGTTAGCGGGGTGAGCACTGTCATGGCATCTTCTGTGGACTGGCACTGTGGACAGACATACTCATCAATGAGCTCTGCCTCACTTTGCAAGATGCCAACGCAGCGCCCATGGTACCAATTCTGACAGCGGTCACAGCCAATATAAAATCTGTAAGACCCGAAAGGGAAATGTGAGTTCAAAACAGATGGGTTAACACTACTTACACTTTCAAAAGTAATAAAACATGCACCTGAAAACATGCTAAAAACCCTGAGGTATAAAATAGATTTAGTATTATGGTTGTTGTAATATTCCTGAAGATTGACATTCCAATGTTAATTTAGTATTTTAGATGTTAAGAACAAACAGTAAATGTTTATTAAGGACACTAATATTGAGAACCAATTTGAAGAAAAAGGGAATGTATTTATTTGACTTTAAAGTTCAAAACAAAGCCAAAAATCTTTCACCTGGTGTCAAACCAAATGGGTCGCTCATAATAACTGGGAGTTCAAATTCCTGTAAGCAAATACCAATCTCGAAGATTATAACCCAAATTAGTGGTTTTCTAACCTAAGATAAAGCACCATTTCAAATACTGATAAAGTCCAAGCAAATCAGGCTGTTTTAATTCTCTATAATTTCTATTTGACATATCAAAGAATCAAAACTACCATTAAACCATATTTTCCCCAAGGCATCTCAAACATTCACTATGAAGCAACATAAAACTTTGAAGGGAAGGTAAAGAGGGGAAAAGAGAGAGAGAGGGGGAGAGAGAGGGAAAGAAAGAGAGAGAAAGAGAGAGAGAGAAAGAAAAAAACCAAACCAAAACAAAACAAAACTGGGAAGGAATTTGTAATGTAAGTGTATAATATACATGGGGGGGGGGGAAATCTTGCTTTTTAATTTAAAATAAATAACCAGTCAGAGCAATTTGGCTTCCTAAGTTATTTAAATATGATGCTCTTAACAGAACTCACTGTGACTCATCATAAGGTGTTCTGCAGATACAGTACAATTCCTCACTGCTGCCCTCTTGTGCCCGTTTACAATCATTACAGATGTACACATCCATTTTCTTAGCCTCCTTTTCTGTGATGCCAACACATTCTCCATGATACCAGTTAGTACAAAGATCACAGCCAATATAGAACCTAAAAGTATTCACAATGAAAATGACAATGTAGTTGTCATTTTGAGCTGCATTGTAGGTAAACCTGTCTTCTCTGCTCTGATCTTTCTCTTACAGGATGAGTTTCTGCAGTGAGTCGGCTAAACATCCTGAACCAACCATTCATTCTGTCCCTGGCAAGCTACAGCATCTGACATTGGATCAAGTGTGAAAACATAGTCACTCACATCAATTTCAACAAATACTCTGTTTAGTGAAATATGGGTCTTTAGAAACATACTGGAGTTTAGGGGGGAAAAATACACAGCACACTGATGACAATGGGTCCTCTGAATGAAAGTGTGTGAGACTGGAACAGACACAAAACCAAAGCCAAAGAATCAAAGACTTACATCTATCAAACCTATGCCACAGAAGCCATTTCAATGTCAAGGCTATTTCTTAGATAGGTTTGAAAATGTATCTCAATTTAAATTTGAAAACAAAGCAAAGCGCAAACACCAAATAGGAGGTAAGAAACATGCAGGTCAGCCACGTGTAGAAGAGAAATGGTCACAACATGATATGAAGAGGAAAACTGAGAAAGGTGCCTGTAGTAATTAAGTTTCTAAATAAACATCTGATCTCATACAAAATTGTCTCCACCTAACACATTATGACATGGGCCTGCCTGTCTCTGGACACACAAGCTGGAAAATGGGGACAAGTGTTGCTGGGGTCACTAACTGGAAGCAACTCTTCAGGAGCTACTTTAGTTCAAGACCAGTGACCGAGAGTGCAGAGAATGAATATCCTGAGAGGTTTTAGATAGTACCGTGGGACCGCTTGTACGCGTAACTTTGGGTAATCACATACTCTAAATCCTCAAGGGCTTTTCCTGTACAAGATCTTAAATGACATATACCATGCTGACAGGAGCGAGCTGTGGGGGAATGTGAGGGTTAGTATGGGCCACCGGGAACCTCGCTGATGTCACCAGAACTCATGTTCTCCCAAGGTATTTCTAGGCAAAGGCATCAGGAGCAATGGAAGTGGTCCTCAGGTGGTCTTCTACCACCACTGACTTGTTCTCTTTTGGAATTGGGATTTTCACATGGCTTTTACTGTCAGAGTGGGGGTCATCTGAGGTCGCTCTATACATGGCCCTCAGAAGGCTATGTTCTGGAAGACACTTTACGGTGTGAATTATAGGTTTCTTTCCTGTCACCCTATTACTTGCTTCTCAAATCTGTCTCAGGGTAAAATAGATTCTAAGGGATTATACGATTCTCCTAAAAAAAACCACTAACTCATCCCACGTAAAACATGGAGTGAATGAGCCTGGAATATGGAAATGATAATAATGAAAAACATGAAATATCTACAAAATAATCAGGTGATTCCAATAGAATAAGCACATAAACATGCATACCTCATTTTATGCAACTCTGTTATTCATACATTATGTATGAAACAGATTTCTATGAGTCAAATAAGTCAAGCAAGTTTTGCTATTTAAAGAAATTCTATAAGCAAATTCTTTTGTAAAGAGAGTCAATCATGTTTTGTTTTGTAAATCATCTACTTTTGCTTAAAGTGAGGTACACTGTATTAAACTAGGGGGGAAATCAATTCACAGGGGTTTCACTTTTTCCATTATATGCCATTCCCAGAGAGGTCAGACAATGAAGACTGAAGATGCCTGGACTGATCTCAACTGAGGAATGTTTCACATACAGCTAAGGCTAGCCACACTAAATTTTGATCTGACATTTGCAAAGATTACGATTTAGATAGCCCCACCCAAGCAGCTTCGATGTTGCAACTCAAAACATTACACAAGAGAACAAAACATTTTATTTTATGTATAATTTAGGCACCCACCCCACAAAGCAGACATTAAGTATTCCTGATTCTACATGGTCATATATTTTAGAGCAATCAAACACATTTTTTTGGTACCGCAAAAACACTGTAATTAATTTTGGCAAAAAAGGCTGGTCAATATCTTAATGCTATTTAAATATGGAAGTCAAAATAGGTAATGACTATCAAAGCAACAACACTAAATGGACTGATTTGTGTCTCTAAATTTAGGTCACAACTGTCAAAAGCAGTTTCCAGCATGTGATGCTCATCAGACTTTTCAGTATCATAACGGAGAAAAGGTGAAACTTTATTTTTCTGACTTTTGTTCCAATTAGAAAAGAACTCTGAAAAAAATAACTTTAAGTTCAAGAGTCAATACAAACCCTTAAACATTTCATAAACTGAAGCACTAGAAAAATCTAACCACGTCAGTGTGAACTTTCTTTTACCTTCACTTCCAGATGGTTTCTAGAATTTAATGTGTTCACAGGCTTGTGAACAGATCCCGGGAAGGATGCTCCCAATTTGGGCAAAAACTACTGCTCCTTCTTCAGACAGCATTACTGATTGACTTGGAGCTAATCCAGAGAGAAGAGGACAAGGCAAAGGAGCAATGGAGTACTTGTTTTTGACAGAATATGGCACCAGACCAGTTAGAATCATGAACACGAGAAATACACATTTAACTAGTGCCAAAATAGAGCATGTCAAATGGAAGATCACAGACGAAGATGAAGTGTTATAGCCCTCACTTCTGACTACTTTCACTTATATTCCAAACTACCTACTCATTTTCTCCAAAATCATCAATTTAAGGAAACAAGTAAAGCTTAAAAAAAGAATCTACTCACTTGGATTCATCATAAGGCGTTTTACAGATACAGTAAAGCTTCGTGTCTTTCTTCGTTTCCTTTGAGGTAGTAGAGATCATTTTCTTCTTCTTGGACTTGGAGCCTGAGTCTCTGTCCTCTTCCCGCTTCCTCTTCTGGGTAGGCGTGGGGAGCGTGGGCGTGGGCAAGAGGCCTGAGTGGGTGTGCTGTGGGGCTGGTGGAGGTGAAGGCGTGGGGGCTGGAGGAGTTGCAGCCACTGGGGGGGCCACAGCCACTGCGGCTGCCTGCGCCAGGTCTTTTTCTTTCTTAAGTTTCAGATCTTTCTTTAGCTCTTCCTGTTGTCAAGTAAATACAAGATTGTCATTAGAATCTAGTAAAGACTTCAACTACCCAGAGGACCTGGTGTGAAGGAATCGTAGCAATTCCCAAAGTTTCTCCTACATCTTAAAATCAATCAAACTAATGTTGTTGCTGATTGCGTTTGAGTCGAGCATGACTCATAGAGACATTATTAACAAAAGGCCTGCAGCCTCTCTACAACTATCAACATTTATCAAATGGATGACAGACAGAAAATGAGGACTGTGTAACAAGAAAGCTATGCAGGTGCTGAAATAAGACTGGCTCTCCTAGATTTCCACGGCCATATCCTGGTGATTTAGGGTCCTCAGCCATGGGCTCTTTGCTTTCTCCTTGCTGTCAGAGTTCTGTGTGTTTTTAGAGATGACCTTGAGCAGCAGGACACTCAAACGTGGTCTAACCAGCACATATGGAACAAGATCCAGCTGTGTCCAGCTGATCATGTTCCCATGCCTAGGACTTCTGTGGTAGAAAGCATAGCTGAGCAGTACAATGTACTATTACAGATTTTACTGTAAATTAAAACATGTATGCTTCCCCTCCATGTATTTTCTAGACACATTTCTGGTATCCTAAGTTGGACAATGACTAGGGAAAATAGGAGAATTGATGCCTTTGAGCTGTGGTGTTGGAGAAGAGTACTGAATATACCACGGACTGCTAAGAGAATGAACAGGTTCGTCCTGGAAAGGGTGAAGCCAACGCTGCTCCTTGGAGGCGGACGTCATGCTTAGGAGGAGGGATAGCACAGGAGAGGAAGACCCTCAATGGTATGGATTGATTCAGTGACTGGGGTAATGGGGGTAGGTGTGTCAGAAACAATGAGATTGGCACAGGACAGAGCAGGGTTTAGGACTGTTGTACATAGGGTTGTTGAGGCACAGGTGACTTGATGGCACACAAGAACAACATTATAACTAACAGAAACAGTAATTAGAGCGATTTTTATTTCCTTAGGTGGGGTGCCTTGGAACAAAGACAATCATGAAATTCATTTTAACTGGCAGCTATGAATTAACAATACGGTTTAGGTAAATCAGAACTATGACCAAGAATTCTTTTTAAATTATGATTTGAATGTCAAGAAATATTTTTTAGACCCTGAGACAATTATTAAGGTTCCCCCCTCAATTAATTATATTCAGAGTAAGAACTATTCTTTCCACATTTGAATTTGGCATAGTTTTGATAGAGAGGGAAGCCTCTGAGTCCTATTCATGTGATAAAAGAGTAAATTAAAGTGGGAATCAACATAAATAAGAGTACTTAAAAAGTCAACTGGAAGCTGTCACTTATTATCATGACATCACATGTTATTGCATGAACCCTGGTACTACAGTGCATTAAGTGTTGGACTGCTAAGAAAAAGGCTGCTGGATTTGAGTCTGTCAGCTGTGCCATGGGAGAAAGTCTCTCTGATAAAGGCTTATCACCCTGGAAACTATCAGAAGGGTCACCTTGATTCAGTGGCAGTAGCTTTACTTTGGTTGCTATGAATGTAGGTTTGCTTAAATTTAGAGAAATGGAGTTGTTTTGTAGTACTTAAAAGGCTGTTTTATGAATTCCTGAACCTACAAATTCTAAAGTAGAGATACCACAGAGATAACTATGAAAAGAACAAAACAATTTCAAGGCTCTGTCTAGAGAAAAGGTCCAAATACCTGGGAAACTAGACCTAGTTTTATCAGATTTTGTACTTCCACACAGGTCCCCCACATGCTGCTATGTCCCTCCTGATGTTATCTTAATTAATAATCATTACTTCAGTATCTTCCTAGTTTCAAATGTCAGAAGACATTGATAGAAGAAAACTATGAGTTTTCTTTTTCTTAATTTAAATGCTGTATTTATAATAGAAAATGAAGAATGAGTTGCTGGTGAGTTGATTCTGACTCATGGTGACACTGTATGAGGCAGAGTCCATGCAGATTTCTAAGGCTGAATTTCTGGAAGCAGACCATTAGACCTTTCTTCTGAGGTGTCTTTGAATGAACTCAAACGACCAAACTTTGGTTACCAGTAGAGTACCTTAACTGCCTGCACTGTCCAGGACAAGGCGCTGAATTCTTGGAAACTGAGATGGTCAGGACGGTATACCGAATCCATACTTTGACAATTTCCTCACTTTTCAAGCATCATCAAATAATAGTAAAATATAAAAAAGAGGAAATGAAAGAGACACAGCCATGTTAAATAAAGATACACAGATCTTCGTCTACAGCACAGAGAGATACAGGACACTGTTAAAAGAGCTGAAGCCACAGGACTGTTGGCTGAATAGGAAGTGGTAGCCAAATAGTAGCATCTCTTTTTCCATAAAGTTACCAAACAAAAGGATTCCTCTCACTCAAAAAGTTAAAAAAACCTTCAAACTTAAAAGCTACGAAAACCTGTAATGTGAAGGACAATCAACAAAATCAGTAACTGAACCCCAATTCACCCCTATGAAGTTAGTTTCAGAAAACATTTGACAAAAATTTTATAATACATTTGCTATAGTCTAGGAGTTAAATGTATATATGTTATTCTTATGTGCTGTTGAGTCACTTGTGACTCACAGCAACCCTATGTATAAAAGCCCTAAACCCTGCTCTATCCTGTGCCAAGTTTATTGTCTCTGACACTCCATCCCCTCATTACCCCTGTGACTGAATCAATCTGTCTCATCCAGGTTATTCTTCTCCTGTTTCTCCGTCCTCCCACCCAAAGGGGTAACATCTGAATGTGCATGTAATAGATTATTCATTTTAAAACTCTACATTATTGCAAAGTTATTTATAATAAAACATAGAGATTATCAGTTCTCATAAACATCTTCTGTCTTGGTTAGAATATGAAATGGGAACAGTGTCGGGTACTTCTTAAAGGTTAAACATGCAATTATTTGTTGAATAAGGCACCAGATAATACATAAGTCAAGTTCCTGACTGCTGGCTGCGAAGTGGGAACCACTCAACAGCTCTGCAGGACAAACACCATAGTACAGAAAACCTGATGGGGAAGTTCTACTCTAACACACAGAGCTGCCATGAGTCAGCATCTACACAACAGGCACTACCAACAATTTTCTGTTAACTGTACTGAATCAGTTTATCACACTATATATAGAGAAATCCTTTCAGCCCCCCAAACCAACCAAAACCTCATTGTTGTGGGGCTGGAAGTGACTCACAGTGGAACTTCCAGGGGTTTCTGAGAGGCTGTACATCACACAGGAAGCGACTGCTTACATTTTCCCTGCGGAGCCACCGGGGGATTCCAACTGCCAGAGGCGCCTCCTATGGGTCAGTAGTGCAATTTCCTACAGACACTGTGGCCAGAGTGCCCTACACTACACATAACCTGAATTTTTCAGTCAACATGAGAATTTTTCAAAGAATTAAAAACAAACACATACACATTATCTCTACACTCAATGTCAATTAGTTTCGCGAACACATCAAGCTTATCTAACCTTGTGGTTCTCAGGTGGGAGTGGTACCACTGTTCATGGATGTGTATGAAGAAGTAGGAACGTCTTTGCTTATTACAGTGACAGGTACCTAGAACCAGTGATGCTAAATTTCCTATGATGTGAAAAAAACCTAACCTGTCCAAAGGGTTAAAAGTGCTCCTGCTAGAGAAATATTCTGATTTCTAGCTTTCAGTTTTATGCTAGTAACATGTTAAAGAATGCCCCTTCTTCTATATCCTGCCAATTACTTCTTTGATGAATTTCTATGTTGTTGTTAGATGTCTTCAAGTATGACCTATGTGGATTATATGAACAACAGATCTGAACTCTGTCCTATCTATCCTGTGCCATCCTCACACTTCCTCTCTTTCCCTCATTCTCTACCATTCCAAGTATATCTCTCTCCAAAGAACAGTCTCTCATAGCAGCGTGCCAGAAGTATGTGAGGTGAAGCTTTTATCATCCTTGCCTCTGAGGAGCGGCTGCACTTTCTCTAAGACACATTCCTTTGTTCTTTTGGTAGTCCATGGGCAGTCAGTACTCTTCTCCAACACCACAGCTCAAAGGCTGAGAGGTCTGTTAGTTAAGAAGTGGACAGCAAATCCTGCTTCCTAGTCTGTCTTAATCTGGGAGCTCTATTAAACCTGTCCACCATGGGTAACCCTTCTGGCATTTGACACACTAATGATATAGTTTTCAGTATCAGAGCAACCCTCCCACAAATCATCTCAGTATAGCAAACACAGACAAGTAATGCAGCAATTAGAACAACATATTCCCCAAATACAACAAACTGACATGTCAGATGGTTGAAATCCACTAGCTGCTCTGTGGGAGGATGGGCAATCAATCTCCTCTTGTGTGATTAACTGCCACTGAAAACCCACTGGAGGGTCAACTATAGGTTGGTTACTACTTGACAGTTCACAACAACAACAACAAATCAGGCTTCACACCAGTTCCAAGGGCCAAACTTCTGTATCATACATTTATACATATTTTAGAGAAATGGTATCTCTAAAAAAAAAGGAGAAGAAAGGTATTCTTTCTTCTCTCTACCAGGTAAATGTTGTTTTCATTTGACTAGTAGAGTGTATACTAGTAAACAGAATTTTAAACCCTGAAATTACTTATGTCCCTTACAAATTTTTCTACTAAAGTATTTACCATTTTCTTATTGATATAAGAATGCTGGAGATTTTAGGAATATGAAGTCTGCCAGAAACATTAGTAAAAATTGTCTCTGTGTTATTTATTTCTGTGTTGTTTGTGGTATTTTAGCAAGAGAATCTCTAAAAAATAATGTTGGCTGGTGGTCAGATTAAGATTTTTCATCGTCTTAAAACCTGTTTTAGCTAACTTTAAGAATGCAGTTTTAGGGAGCTCTGGTGGCCTAGTGTCAAGAAGCTGCACTGCAATTCGAATCCACCAGATGCTCTACTGGAGAAGAAGGGGCAATCTCCTCCTGTACCTGTCAGATCCAAATTTGAGGGTACACACAAAAAATAAAATAAAGTAAAATTAAAAAAAAAAAAAAAAGAAAAGAAAAAAGAATGCATTTTTTTGCACTGCAATCACAGAGGTACGTGGTTTGAACACATCAGATGCTCTGCTGGACAAGGGGGGGTCAATCTCCTCCTGTACCAGTCAGATTCGATGTGATGGTACACACACACACAATGATAAAAAAAATGCAGTTTAAAAATGTGTGAATTGATATATTATTTTTCTTCAATATATTCCCCAAGCTGCATGCAGCTGACTAGAAACGTCTTGAAAATCGGTAAAGGCAAACAGTAAAACTGGTTTTATTTCTTGCTTACAAGACAAAGGTTATTTCTCATTTCTTTAGCATGATTCTTCAGTTTCGCTTTTCATTTTTTTTTTTAAGGAGAAAACAGTTAATTAACCAACCTCCATGTGATTAACACAGCCTGGAGCCACCAGGACACAGGCCCCCCAACACCCTTAATCTCCTCAGCTCTGCTGAAGAATCTGGTCTCACAATGACTGGTTGCTTTGGGAGCTTTCCCTTCTCCAAAACTCTGTAGTAACCCGATCGAACCACATCAATGATCGGAGCAGCTCCAGTCTCGTTTTTTGCAGCTTTCACCCTTGTCTGCTCACTGACCAAAGTCCACAGTGTGCCAAGGCTAACAGGTGGGCAGAAGCTCTGATCCCGTTTCAGGTGGTCATGTCTCATACTGATCTTTCCAAAACAACCTGGATGGCTAACAATCGTAAAGGTCCATCTGATGCCTGTCGCTAACCTGGTGACTGACTGTGCCACAGACCCACAGCCAGTGCACAAGGTCAGCAATTCCTCTTCCAAAGCTCTGGCACACCAAGGTTTGCTAACTTTTCAATGGAACATGCACGGCACAGATGCTCAACAGATTGCTAAAAATGTCACCAACCGAGCGACCCAAGAGCTGCTAGTTAGGCGAGGGCAATCCATGCCGAGACAGGGTCTCCGCTTTGCTAGGCCGCCCCAAGCCGGTTCACTCCAACACTTCTATGCCCATAAACGACACCCCCAAGAGCGCACTTTCTAACGGAAAGGTTTCATTCTAAAAGGTGAAGCACCGTGAACAAAAGGCAAAGAACCGAGAGTGTCCAGACCAAACCTGACGCGTTCCCACCACAGACTCGGCTACAGCGCGCCTTCCTCGCTCCGCCGGCGGCCGGAAGTCCAGGCCGGAAATGGCCCTTTGACCCGCACCCGCCCTCAGCCTCGTGGGCTGCGATGCCCGCGCCCCAGTCCCCGATCGCTCCAAGGGTGAAGGGGGCTGAAGGCTCCTGGAGGGCCGCCTCACTCCCGCCTTTATCCTGTTTTTCCAGTCCTTCCCTCAGCTTACTCACATTACCAAAACAGTAATAAACTTAAGATTAAAAAAAAAAGGGGGGCACGCACGAGGGACGTTTCCTTTCAGAGGGAAGGAAGAGGCAAAGTAATCCCTATGAAACACGCAAAGAGCCATAAAGTGGAAAAAGGAAGAAATGGAGTTCAGCGGGCTTTTCTGCTTAATCAGAAAGCTGAAGTTCACTGAGACTGAAGGGTCCACGTGCTTACCTGCACTTCAATCTGCAGGTCTTTGTCCAGCAGGGCTCGCTTTTTCAGGATCTCGGCCTTGAGCTGCTCCTTGTGTTTGAAGAGCAGTGCGGAGAGCTTGCTCGCATTCTGCTTGCTCCGTTTTTGCTCCACGCTCTCCTCCCGCTTCCGTTTTTTCGCAGCCTGCTTTTCTTCTTTATCTATCTTATCCAAAATATACTTCATCACCTGGTTACAGACAATCATTCTAGAGAAAAACACAGAATCTATGTAATGCAGTATTTCATTTGGAAAAGACGGAAAAGATTTTTTCTGTTTCTACAACTGATAAAAACTTTCCGTTTGCCCCAGCTTCAGAGCATCTCAGGCCAGGCACGTGCGCCCACTACACCGAGCTCTGCGGTTCGGGCCTTCCTGAGTCCCATCTCTGAACTCTGGTGCAGGTGCCCACGAGGACAGTGACAGGCGAGACCTGCAGTCAGTGCTACAAACTTCTTTCCCTACCTTTGATTCTCTTCTCTTTCAGCTGGTGTCATGGTCTTTTTCTGTTTCAAATGTTCTATTACAGCATTATGTTTCATCACCACCTTCAGAACAGAACAAAATACAAATGTGCACATTTTATAGGAATAACGAATTGGAACACAGGCCACAGTAGAAACATGTAAATGCTCTCCAGACAAAGTGTAAGCATTTTATACCATAACATGAATAAAACTAATAGCCACCATCAACCTGAGTGCTTACCAGGGCTGGGGACTGTGCTAAGTGCTGACATTACTTATTCATCACAGCATTGAAAGGAATAATTTTATGAAATACTGACACATAAAGTAATTGACTACTCTGAGGTAAAATAAACAATATAGCTGTGATTTTAATCTGGCTATCACTCTCCAAAGGTCTTGCCTGAAATATTATGCCCTTTTCCCAAGTATTACTTGCAGAGAACCTCTCCCCCACCACTTTACACAAAGATTTGAGGACAGACAGATATTGCAAATAACTCTCAATTTATATAGCTAATCTTCAAAATAAAGCTCAACAAATTTAGCACTGCAAGTTGAGTGAGAATGCATTTGGATGCATTAACTTCAATATTATAAGAACACCACCATACAACTTTAAAAATTCTTTTGTCACTTAATATGTGCTTCTGTTCATATTAAATAAGACATATGGTCTTATTTAATCATTATAATAACCCTCAGTGGCTTGGTTTTCATTTAAGAAACGTGCTGCAATCACAAGAGACAAGTGGTTGCCACAGAGGAGTGACCTGCAGAGCAAAAAACTGAATGTGGGGCTCATGACTTGGGAAACGACTCAGTGATGAGAAAATAGAAAATTCCTACATTTCTTTTAATAGTTAAAAACAGAAACAGTGCAGTAACATTTCACACGCACAAATCAAACTGTCTATGCCATTCTCATCTGCTGCCGGGAGCCCAGGAAGCCACTCCCAAGGGTCACCGTTCTTAGAGACCTAAGTGCAGATTCCTAGAACTTCATTCTGTAAAATCTTTATTCTTATATCAGTGATCTTCTGGTGATCCATACACCAGAGTTAAATTCCATTCAATTCAAACATAAAGCCAAAGAAGAGCCAATGCGAAATTCCAAGCTTAATGAAAAGCCCTCATTTGAACGGGAAGGTAGAGACAGTGAAGGTGGCGAAGCAGGCACGCATGAACCGGGAGCACACAAAGCTCCATGATGTACAAACAGGAGGAAACCTCATACTTATACACATTTTAAAACATTTGTTGCTGTTGTTAGCTGTTTATGATTTGACCTCTCTAACATATAGAGACCCTTTGTATAATAATATGATGAAAACTTTTGAATGCTACATAACTGAATTTTACACTGAATTTTTCTTTAATACTGAATTCTTACAGGGACATTGTTTAAAAAGAAAATAATCATGAAGTATATGGAGCAGAACTTTCTGTGATGAAGGGAATACTCCACAGCTGCACTGTTCAGTATGAAGGCATAAATCACTCTTATTTAGGTTTACTTTAATATGTTAAGCTTAACAGTCCCATGTGGCTAGTGGCTATGATACTGAATAGTGTAACTAGAAGTACTTTTCAGTTCTTTTTGTCTGACTTTAATTGTATAAGGAATTAAAATACAGGCATCAAAGCATGCAAAGTATTAACTGAGAATTCAATTGTATTAATCGTCTCATTATATCTCTTCTCTACTGAAGATTCCATACATCACATCCATCTTCTTTATCTCATATTTTGGTTCACTGAATGTTGAATTAATTTTCCTCTGAAATTTTCTTTACCCCTTTCCTTAGATGAGGTCCACATTTTACTTTAGTTCCTAACCAGTACTGAGTGATGCAAGTTGTAGAAGCAAAGAACACTTTCTCCAGTACACTCGTGGAATCAGAAATGTGACCTCATGAGGGAATAATTCTCATTCCTTTAAGGTGCCTTACACCACTGAGATGCCACTGCAAAATGTGGATTCCCTCTAAGCTTTGGAATACACTGACACTTCTTCACTTAAGGTCTACCCTGTTATCGGACATTCAGCACTAAAGAAAACCAGTAAAACATTTACTACGCAATAATTTTGTGCAATAGTAACATATACCCGGCAGTATTGAATGTAGAGGCATGTTATGCAAGAGTAACAGAGGGTGTGAGGTTCAAGAGCATGTGTCAGGGTAGCTGTCTGTCATTCTTAGTAGTTTGAAAGTTATGGAAAGATAGAATCTGGCAGTTACATAACAATGTAATCATGCTATCATTTCTGATCTCAGATGGTCAAGCATTTTCACATATTATCAATTTCTGCATAATAATATAGTCTTAATCATGTCAAGGAGAAGTGGTTGTAACAGCACTTAGCACTTACTTTCAAAGGTATGACTAGAAACAAAAATGAGCCTATCATTTGCTTGGTCTCCATGCAAAGTAAGGAATGAAAATGGAAATAACAAAACAAACAAAAACCAGTCAATAAGGAAAAAAACTCCAATAAAACCCAAATAAAAACAAAGCTGCTATACTGTCTGAAGAGGCTTTTAAAAGTAGTTAACCCTTCAAGCTTTGTATCAATGACCTTTCTCATAACTCCATTCTTCCCATCTTGGTTCCCCCAAATACAGTTAGTTTTAAACAAGCACTGACTGAATGTATTTATCTAGCAAAGTGTTCAAACCGTAGTAGTCATCCAATATTCTGTGGTCAATCTAGTGCTTCTAAGTTCAAGCATTAGTGAAATTTGTCTCATTTAGGAAACCTAACACAACCAAACACTAAGTCTAATGCACAGCACAATATTTCAAGCTACTGAACATGCTGCTTTTACTTAATAACGTTACCTGTTTCTGAATGATTTCACTTTGATTAGAAGCTTGGAGGGTGTGTTCACGCTTAATTTCTATCTGTTGCTGCTTCTTCTTTTGCTGCTGGTCCCTGAGTTGCTGAACCCTTTGCAACTGCTCTTGCACACTGGCTGCCTGCACTGTAACCACATTCTGAATCTGGTGAGTCTGCACAGGTCTGTTTGGCTGAATTGGAATAGGTAACTGGAGTTTGATTTGCTGGGGCACACCACCTTGCTGAGCCTGTATCTGAGCCACAACCTGTGACGGAATCTGAGAGAGAACCTGGACTTGGTGTTGCAGCTGAGGCACAGCAATGACTTGGGGCTGTGGCTGCTGTATTTGTAGCTGAGGACGGGATGGGGATGAGACAGTAACTTGATTTAATGTTTGTCCTGATGAAAGAGTTTGAGTTGAAGACTGTACCTGGGGTTGCGATTGTGGCTGGCCTTGGGAAGGTATCGGAAGAGAAGTATGTGGCTGAATTGGAATCGGCTGTGAGGCTGCAGTCTGAACCTGGGACTGCTGTCCAGGAGACACTTGGGATGGAGTTGATGGACGTATTCGAGTCTGTAGTGGACTCTGGACGCGAACAGGAGATTGTCCTTGTACACTACTTTGAGGCTGACACTGTAGCGCCACTTGGGGCTTGGATGACTGTGTTTGGATGGGTTGTGCTTCAGAAGGAACATGGGAGGAAGCAGTTGTTTGTGTCTGAACTTCAGGCTGCGCTGGAGATGGAGGCTGGGCTGAGGGCTGGGGCTGAGCGGAGGACGGTGCTGTCTGAGGTGGTACTTCAGGAGGGCTGCTGCTGGGTGCTGGTGCTGGTGCTAGGGTTTTGGCTTCCTGTACCTGTGTCTGGGGTAATAATTTACTCTGTTTTTGCTCAGTTGTACCTGTGAAAATGAAACAAACATTTTCATTACTCCAGAACGTAAGTCCATGTTGAAAGAATGTAAGAGAATTTTTGGAAGTTGAGTATTCTGCATTTTTTAAAATTTTTTTAATTTTATTTTATTATTTTGTGTGCGTGTACCGTCAAATCAGATCTGACTGGTACAGGATATTGCTCCTCCTTCTCCGGCAGAGCTTCTGGTGGATTCGAACCGTGTACCTCTGGGATTGAAGAGCAGCGTAGTCTGCATTTTAGTAGAAGATTTATGCTTTTGAAATGTTATGTTCAGACATGCTTGGGTTGGGGCTCTTTTTTTTTTTTAAATTTTTGTGGGGCTCTTTTAACTTGGGGTTTCAGGCCCTGTCTCATAGCTGTTCTGTGTACACATCACTAACTTTTCAAGACTGAGAGGTTTCAAAAGCAAGTTGCCATCCCTAGAAATGAGGCCGATCTTCTGGCCCAGGCTAATTCCAACCCTCACTCTCTTATGGTGTGGGGCTGGTGGATCTTGTAGCAGGATCTTAACAGAGTAGTCCTGGATCTGTAGCTCTCATGCATAGGTGGTGAGCTGAGTATACCCATCTGCCCTGAGGCAGTGCTACTAAGGCTTGGCAGTGAGTAAGTGTGGGCACTGTTATGAAGATAGCCATCAACTCTCCACAACCTCAGGCTGGTGCAGATAGGCTACCCCTAAGAAGAAGGCACAAGAGCACCTGAGAGCTTGTGAGGCTTGAGGTATAACCTCCCGAGGAGAAGTATCTAGCCTCTTTGCCCCCTCTGCCTGCCTGAAAATGGCGATAGTATCAGGCCGCATTTCCAATAAAACAAAGTTCTACCTGCTGCTGTAGTCGAGACGGTAGTGGTGGTGGTGCTGGCAGTTGTAGCTGTTGTTGCCAAGGGGGTAAAGAGGAATCGCTGAACAGTACCATTTGGCATGGCAGCTTGCATGAGCTGCTGTCCTGGACCTGGAAGTACAGTCACTCCTTGAGGTATCAACTGCAGTTGCCCAGTAGTCTGACCTTGTCCTTGAATTACTACTGTCAAACCTTGATTGCCACCCTGTGGGAGAAACACATCAAGTAGATAGCATTCAAAGCATCAATCTGCATGCAAGTATGCTTTATTAATTAATGTCTATGCGGAAAAGATCAATTAAGATGAGGAAAACATACACCAAATTATCTATGGCAATAGCACTGGAAGGCAAGCCTTTTTCATGACTTGCGCCAACATTTATGAGTTAATTCTATGTAGTTTCGTTGCTCTGAATTTGTCTTTTTACTGCTGCAGGAAAGCAACCACTTTGTGGCAATGGTCTTATTTCATGTTTTCCAACATATAGTCAGTCAGCTGTAGTTCTGTTTACGAAAAGGTGGTCCTTTCCTTATTGATCCACAATCCTAAGAAGTGTCCACAGGGGTCACTCTCTGTACACCAGACTGTCTCATAGGGCTCTATCTGAGTTTTATTGTTTTTTATTTTTCACATGGAAAAGCATCAAAAGAAAACTTTTTGAAATTTTTATTTTATTATTTGTGTGCACCATCAAATCAGATCTGACTGGTACAGGAGGAGACTGTCCCTCCTTCCCCAGCAGAGCATCTGGTGGATTCGAACTGTGCGCCTCTGGGATTGCAGTGCAACTTCTTGCCACTAGGCCACCAGAGCTCCCCCAAAGAAAACTTTTTTGGTGGGAAAAGATTTATCCTTCTCATTCTCCGGGTGTAACTGAGCTGCCCTCATGTCTACAGGACTCTAGATAATTAAGGTTTATTATATCTTACCTGCACGGAGTGTTCTTGTTGGACTCCATGAAAGAATCAAATATTTCAAGTAAGTACATTTGTAAACATATAAACAGAAGTACCTCAAACATAAAGCAAGAAGAGAAATAAACCATAGAAATTAAAATAAAACCAGCAGCACTTACATGGCCCTGTGTTAACTGTGTGAGCTGAGCCATGGTGAGCTTCACCTGTCCTTGTTGGGGGCGGGAGGGCTGTGAGGTTGATGACGGTATGTTTGCAGTGGGTGTGCCTGGAGGTAGGCCTTTCTGCCCAGGTGTGGAGGAAGCAGCATTAGGGCTAGAGACTGCGGTCGAAACTGGCTGTCCCCTGATGATCTGGGTCACCACTTGCTGAGGAGCACCTATGCAAACAACAAAGCACTGTGACTTCCGGGATGCCCTTAACATTGCTGGGATGTGGAACAGCTAAATCCTCGAGGTAAGTAACTTCTTTCAATTTTCAGTAAGACCCATGGGATGGTGACAGTCCAATGATGCAGTCAGACCTCTACTCATACCCAAAGGATTAGCTGGTTGTCAATATGCTCGATTTTATACAATTCACTGACAAACATTATTCCCTCTATGTAAAGTAGAATGAAAACACAACATGCTTTTCCTGAGTCTAAAGCAAGAATAGTGGCAGAAAAAAAATATGTAAAATAGGCTATTTTTTTTTAAAAGGATATAACATTAAAGATATGGAAATCTAGGGGAAGGCAACAAAAGGATCCTTGTGAGCAAATAAATATTCTCACCCACCACCGTGTCCAAAAAAAAAGAGGTCATCTGTAATCCATTCATATGAATTTTAAGTAAAATATACTGAAATTGGAACACTCTGGGTTAACTGAGCTTCTCCTACATCTATTCTGACAAATAGTTTAGGTAGTGTAAGGTTGTAACCAGGTGCCGTCAAGTACAACTAACAGTCACCCTGTGAACAACAGATCTGAATCCTGTTGTTACAGTCACTGTCTCAATCCATCCGGTTGAGGGTCTTCCTCTTTTCCAAAGTATGAGAGACAAAGATTTGACATCTTTGCCTCCACCCCTATTATATCCTCAATACAAGGGCAAAGTGCTAAAAAAATGCTTACAAAGTAATTGCCCCGAAAGTATCTACTAAGTGAATACATTCGTACTGGAACAGTACTGTATTCTTCTAAAAACCAGCTTCTCATTAAATTCATTGAAATGAGAAGAGAAAGCAGGTGAAATTTTATCCCAGTGGTATGTTGTTAAGAGTGACTATCTGGGGGGCGGGGAGGAAAAAAAAAGCGTGACTACCTGGTAGTAAGTATTTTTCATATTCACTATTAATAATATACTATTTCTGAAGTTTTCTGGAATTACTTCTTTTTATTCCTTCTGTGGAAAAGTATTCTGAGATGTTTCTTTAAATGGCTGGAGGTCTTTACTATTATTGCACATGTATAAAATGGACTCTATTTTGATATCCAGCCCATTTTATATGACACCCATTGCTATCAAATTGACTTCAGCTTACAGCAAGCTCATGAAGCAGTAGAACTGCCCAGTGTTCCAAGGCTGGAATCATGGTTGTTCTGACTACATTCTTAGTTAGTACTTAACAATGTGATGTATTTGGGTTTTAGTGGTTCTTCAAGCATTTTATTATTTTAGAATGTTATTCATTGTATTATTTTTTTTTATTGTTGCACATTTTCTTAACCCTCCATCCTCTCCTCCTCCTCCAACCCACCCAACAATGCACCCCCTGTTCCAGATTGTTGACATATGGGTGTATTTGTTTTGTTTACTATTGCAACTGTATAAGAGAGGTGCTCAAATAGTTGTCCAACGAGCTAAAATGAATTTACCACTGAGGTCAGATTAGGCAGTATGAATTGTTTTTCCAAGTATAAAATTCATTAATAAAATATCTTAACATTAACTTAGAGTTTTAATCTAAAGTGATCAACTAAAGCAGACTGATACACATTCCGTTTTATGGGAAGTTATCCAAGTTTTATCTATGGCTTATTATAGAACCAAGTAGACTATCAATATTTTAAGAGAATATAAATTAATGGAGCTGTAAAACTTGATGTCTAGTCTTCCACTTTTCTATTTAAGCCAGAAACGTTTTCAGAGACAGATTTTCCCACACCTAACATTAGTGGAGTTGTTCTTTTTAAAATTTTTCTATCTTCTGTGAGAATTTGCCTTTCGGCATGCTTCTCATAAATGTATAGTGGGAATTTTTTTTTATTATACTCAACATTTATAATTTCGAACTTTTACTACAGAAGTTTTATCTTGAGTATGTTAGAGGTGGTAAATGACAGTTCTGGAATTACCTCTGCAATCATGTTTTTAGACTTTGTGCCTTTAAAATCGATGCCGTTGAGTTGTGGTGCTGGAGAAAAGACTTGAACATGCTATAGACCTCCAAGAAAACAAAAGCCTGTTTTTGAGAGGGTGAAACCAAGTTTCTCCATAGGCGCTAGGATTTTGAAGTTCTGCCTCACATACATTGGGCATGTGGCCAGGAAGGACCAGTCCTTGCAGAAGGACATCATGTTTGGAAGGGGGGGAAGGACAGTGCAGAAGAAGCTCCTACATGAGATGGATTGATACAGTAACTGTGGCAATGGGGGTAGGTGTGTCAGAGTGAGTGAGACTGGCTCAGGACAGGCCAGTCTTCAGAGCTGTTATACATAGCGTTGCTACGATTTGCACGTGACTCGGCAGCACGTAACAGCAACAACAAAGGGTTTCCTTGATATTCTCCCTGTTTCTGGCCATGCAGTTGGTTTTCTTTGCTTGTTCTCTTTATTTCAATTACTTAAATGACACAGACTGCACTTACCTTAAGAAGGAATCAATAATTTTAAGTGGGTATCATAATAAAACCTGGCATGCTATGAAATATTAAATTGTTGTTTTCTAGTAGGTAGACTGAGAAATATAAAGCAGCACAGATGTCACTGGCTGCCTATTCAGATATAAAATGATAATAATAAATGGATGCATACCTGGCTGAACCATCACAGGCGTGCGAATAATGGTCTTTCCGATTGGTGACTGCTGGAGCGGCGTTCTAATCACTGTCACACCAGGGCGGATCTGAGGCCCTGGGATTACCTATAAATGACACAAAGCACAACAACTTAAAAAATGTTTTTGAAAGAATGCTGGACTAAGAATACAGGATCTTTACACATTCTATATTGATAAAATGCCAAGTACCCATGTGCATTATGTTTTAAATATTAAGCATCAGAGTAAAGATGGACTTCTGAGAGAACAAAATTGAATTCCAGTGAGACCATATGAAATATTTGCCAGTGACACCAAGAACAGCTTGTAGATTAAATCCAGAGAGGCTCTGCCATAACATCACCACTGCTGCTCAGAGCAATTACAGAGCCCTGTTTTCTCTAAGCTCAAACCATGCTGTTTGGTGGCCTAGTGGCAAGAAGTAGCACTGCAATTCCAGAGGTACGTGGTTCAAACGATGCTGTAACCAGAGAAGAAAAGAGCCAAGACCAGAAACCAAATGCTCAGTTAGTTTAAAAGAGGAGATGATAACACATAACATTTTCATTTTTATACCTGAAACTTTAAACCTTTTCTGTAAGACAAGAACCCGAGAAATGATGGCTCTAAAAAGTATGCTTATCAGCTGGCTTGCATTTTTCCTTCAGTTTTTTAACTAGGATGCACAGCACATTGCCTTGTGCTTGTTATATAAATTTTCTTTTTAAAAATAATTTCAGGTAGTTTTTATTGTACATAAACTAAAAGAAGATACCACTAACTAAATTTTAATAATCAGCAGTTCATGTGTTATTTAAAAAACTTATCAGAATTATAAATAGCTTCCAATTAATAAGTTAGAATCAAAGACAAGTTTGAAGTCCTAGAAGAGGCTACCTGACCAATTTACCCCTCTGGGCCCAACTTAAAACAACGAAGACCACAGACTCCTTACTTGTGAAGCGCTCGTGCTTCCTCCAGAGGCTGGCGTGTTGGGCCTAATTGTGACGGTCGCTGGCCTGGGTTGGAATGAAGTAAAGGTCTGCTGATTTGTACCTGTACTAGATGGAATGATACCCAGGACCTTTTGCTGTACTTGCACGACACCTTAAAGGAAGATGAAGGAAGAGTTAATAAGCACTTCTACAACTGAGAACACTGCGTGTTGCTTGGTTTCTGAGGAGAACTACGTGTGGTAGGGTTTTAAAGTGGACTACATAGAATGTGAGAGCTGAGGACTGAAATTAGTGGAAAGGAGATGAAAAACAATGGCAACAGTATGATCTGGCAAATGTGAATTTAAAGCTCCTCACAGTTCCCTTACCTCCTTGCGTTGCTGGCACATTTACAGCGACAATCTTGCTGTTTGCAGGAAGTGGCAGTTTGGTAATTACTTTTCCTGCCATAGTGACTGGAGTGCCTGTAATGTGGAACGTCTGACCTGTGCTGGCCATGCTTGGAGCAGATGTGGCAGCTGTGCTGGTGGCTAATGGGGTATAAGACATTTAAGAAGCTTTAGATGTGAAATAACCAGCAACGTTGTGACTTCTAGGAAGGGCACCAATGCATGAAATGTGGCTCGCTTTGTATTTTTAAGAAAAACATTCCTCTCCACTCACAGTCTGGGAACTATGTAGATGTTGAAAGTGAAATAATGTAAGAGAGGAATTTTGCTCATGTAACATCATGAACATCAACTGGAACAAACCAACCATCAAATGGCTTGTTTGCTCCATCAGCTGCAGAGAAAAACAACTTTCATTTCAGTAGATAAAGGATTGAAATCTCCCATTTTCTGGGTGAAAAGCAATCTTTCCCTTAACCACAGTTTTGTACCTGAGTTTGACTGGCCTTGCTTCACCCACGTGGCAAAGGTCTGGTGGAAGTTCTTGTTTTGCTGGAAGGTTACAGCAGCTGGAGATCCAACCTTAGTGGTCAGTACCATTTTAGCTCCAGGGGTGACTGAACCACTGATGGGGGCCACCATAACCTTCTGTGCTGGAGAGATGGTGCTGGTTGTACTGTTTGCTGGGGAAGTAGTGGAAGCGGCAATTACAGTAGGTTTCTGCTGCTCCAATCGTTTCTAGAAAAGTCAGGGAATTAAAAAAAAAGTTCCAAATAAAAAACCAGTATTCTAGAAGTCTACCCACAAACTTTCCCAGTCTAAAAAACGGTATATACTGTTTCTAAAATATTATACTTCTGAAAATATTCCTCTCAGTTAATCACTGAATTTAATTTCTTGATAAAACAGAATTCTTACGGCTGTTACATGTATTTTAATAAAAGGTTGAAATTGTTCCAAATAGAAACATTTATATGTTACACCTTTTTCCTAGCCTCTACAAATGTCTAAGTTTTTAGACTAAAGAGAACAGAGAAAGGAGCAATACAACTGGGAGTAGAAACAACTGGCTACTCAGTGATGGGATCTGTACCAAAGAAATAGAGCTGTGAAAGGTTTCTGTGTTATGGCAAAGCTTATTTATCCAGACATAAAGAACATGCCAGTGTGTGACTGCTATTGAAGTTAGCAAATCTGTACTTAGGCAAGCTGAACATTATAAAATTTTGCATTATTATTTAGTTCAAACACTTTTATACAAACTTTTTTTACACAGAGTGGTATTATTTGATGTTTCAGGTTACAAGTCTATTAAAGACTATTTGTCTCTCTTTTCATTATAGATTGCTGAAATATTCTAAGATCTCAATAAATTGGAAATGCTGGATAAGATGGCAAGCATTGGCTATTTTTGGTAAATACTATTTTCAAAGGAATTTAAAAAACAATGCCTTAAGTGATCGCACTGTAGAGATGAGATAAAAATCCAAACAAAATAGTTGATTTTTGCAGAATTAATACTTGTATTTTAGGATACATATCCAGTGACAGAACTATACATGTTATTGCTGACTCAAAGGCAATCAGCAACAGCACTTAAGCATAGGATGCCACTTCTGCTTCCAAGCATTATACATAAAATCTAAAAATGCTGTTATCATAAACAACTTTGATATAGGTGAAGATAATGATCTACAGTAAAATGAAGCCAAAGACTCAAAAAAATTGGGGTTGAGGAGGAAGGTTTAAAATGGGATTAGAAAAAAGCAGCTTGAAAGGAATAGTTTATAAAAGGTGATTTTAATAGCATTTCACATAACTAAGTTAATAATTGTATTATAAATAGGCATATATCTATTTTATTGGCATTTATTAAGGATGATTAAAAACTTTGTGCAGTATTAATCACAGAGAAAAAGTGGGCATTCATTTTTAACTTAGATCCAAATATTCAAACCCTTTAGGTACATTACTCATATTAAAGAAAAAAGAAGCATAACCCCCCCGCCAAACGTTTCAAGAAGACATTACATATAAGAAAGCAATACAATGAAAAACAGAAATCCCAAGTATTTGAATTCTGAAATGTGAAAGGAGCTCAGGATACCAATTCTGTGCTGGGCTGAAAATGTCATCACATTCTACCATGCATAAAAGATCCCTTCCAATAACTAGAATATGGACATGATAAAAGGAAGCCACCAGAAGCTTTATGGCAATCAAGTACAATTACCAAGTTTTATATACCATTTGCTGCTTCTTAAACTATAGAGCTTTGTCAGTTTGGAATTTTGCAGTAAATAATTTATTTTTTTTTTTAGAAACAAAGCATCCAAATGAGAAATAACAGAAATCTTACTTTAGACATTGCTTCTTAATATGTATTAACTTTTTTAAAATTTATTTTTTCATTTTTTAATGTATTAACTTTTGTTAAAAACCCTACAGCTTAGTGTATCCACAGAGCTATTTTCAAGTAATGAAATGAAGACATATTTAAGACACAAAAATGGATAAATAATCATAATGAATGTAATCAATAGCACAGAACTGCACAAGTGAAGACTGTGGAAATGGTCAATGATTTGTTACCCATATACTTACCACAGTAAACACACACACACACACACACACACACACACACACACACACACACACACACAATTAATGTGCTTTTGGTATGCATGAATTTGGCCAAAAATGTCAATCTGTTGTCAGGTGGGACCAGTACCGAATCCCCCACCTGCTGGGCAGCCAATAGCTGCTGTTTTAGCTGGACCTCCATTGGGGCCTTGAAGTCCTCCGCCTTCTTCTGTTCACTAACCTTAGCCTGTTGCTCAACTGCTTGTGCCTTTTCTTTCTCCACTCTGCAGGACAAAAGAAGAAAGTTACTCAACCTCACCCTCTTAGGCATTTGATATCCAATCAACAGAAGTGAAATCACATTATGCAAAGGCTTAACATTATTCTTAAGAAAAGTAAGAAACGAAAATGAATTAGAAATTGACAAACAGATTGTAACATTAAACAGCAGATATAGTATTTTATTAAAGGGAGCTCTGGTGGCCTAGTTGCAAGAAGTGGTGCTGCAATCCCTAAGGTGCGCAGTTCAAATCCACCTGATGCCCCGCTGGAGAAGGAGGGGCAATCTCCTCCTGTACCAGTCAGATCCAACTTGACGGCACACAACAAGGAAAAAAAAAAAGAAATAGCACTTTATTAAACTATATAAATCTAGCACTTTCTGAAATCAGAAGGTAAAATAAAATTAATTAGGACATAATAAATACTATTATAGTTCTGTAACTGCCTTAAGCACCGCTGACCATGTGGTAACCGAATCCTTACCTCTCAGCAAATGCCCGGATCTCCCATAGTTCCAGCTCCTCCTCTGCTACCCAGGTTTCGATTATAACAGGACCAGTTTGCTTGGGCGTTTCCGGTCTCTTTGGACGCAAAGCACTTGATCGAAGGCCTTTCCTCTGAGGTGTAGGCGTTTCTTTGGAAAAGAAGAGAGCATTTTTTTCTTGGTTTCTAATATTATATAATAATTTGTTACAACACTTGTGTACTGAGGTAACTTGGAGTTGCTGTTATGCTGAACACTATGCCTCTGGTGTGTTAAATGTCATAATGGTTACCTATAGTGCGGAGTTTGTTTGGCGGAACTCTCAGTTAAGACAGGGTTGGAAGCAGGAGTGACATCCATTTCCTAAACATGCCTCTGGAAACTCTATGAACTTGGAGAAATGATGATAGTTATAGAACAGGGTTCGGGTCATTATGAGTCGTGTCTGACTCACGGCACTTAATAACAAAAAGAACATTAAAATATTTGACCCCTTTCATAAAAAGCAAGCGCTGGTAAATTTTCTCAAAGGAGAAACGGTAAGCACTTTGCTACAGCTTTTTGTATCCTCCCTGTAGGAGGCATAATGCCTGAAATCTTGATATATTTTTATTTAAGGGTCATTTTTAATAGTTTCTGGTGAAAAAAAAATCTGTATTAAAGAAACAATTACAATAACATTTCCACTCATAAAAGTTGTGGAAATAGGGGAGGGAGACTGTATTAACAATGAAAGAAATTTTCTTTTATTTTTCAAAGAGAAGACTGAACTAGGGGAAGGGAAGAGTGGGCAGGGAGAAAAGTGCAACAATTAATGGATGGATGCAACAATTAATGAATGGAAATCCTCAGTCTGTAAACTTGCATTAAAATTAATAATAATTAAAAAAATTTTTTAAAAAGTTGTGAATAAAAGTTATCTGCACCAGTAATAAAAGACTTCTTTCTATTTCTTACCTTTTGGTGCTTCTGGAACTCCAATGGGGCAAATGATTTTTCTGATACAATATTCAGACCGAATGCCATAGGGACCAACATCTCGCCTCTTAATTATTTCTGTTGTGGTGATTTCAGTTTCAGATGTTTCTATAGTGATTTAATTCACATAATTTAATGACAACTTAAAAACACTCAAACATTAAAAATGGGCAGCAGTGGGTGCTGAAAAAGATATCCCCATGGCCATATGTGAATGACCAAAAGTCAGTATCATATGTAATCCTTCACTAACAAGAAAAACATGACAAAATAACCTTCTCAACCCCAAGAAAATTTTTTTTAAAAACCAAGGCCCTCCTACCCCCAAACAGATAAGGTAGATGAAGGGAATGTAATATCCAGAAGAAGTTGACTGGAAACTGTAATTAATTAAGGCTCATTAACATTATAAAATATTTTGTAATTACAAAGTTCTAAAATACAAAGTGAACCAAAGAAAAATCGATATGATTTGTAAATTTCACTCTATCAAACAAAAAGTGCCCCCCATGTAATCAGCATTTGGAAACATGCTATCAATCAATGACTATGAGATCACACCACCACACTTCCACCCACCCATCCATCACCCACCGGTGAACACGTCAAAACAGAACAAACTGCTACCAGGCAGCTTAGCTCCTGGGCACTACTTGGTCCAAAAATAAGAATCCTGGGAGAGAAGCAGCAACCACAGAGGTCCAGATGGCCCACTTTAAATAATTTCTATGGTAACAGTAGTAAATGTCTTCTAAAACTGGAAACTCGGGAGCTCAGTGGCCTAGTGGCCACTGAAGGGCTGAGGTTGGAGTTAAACAGCTGCTCTCTGTGGGAGAAGATGGGCACTCTCCTCCAGGGATTTACTGCCTTTGAAAACCTACTGGAGGCTCAGGTATGAGTAGGTTCTGACTATCACATAAAAACCACCACCAAACTTGAGAAATGTTCACCTAATAAGCAAATCACCTTAGCATGTGAACCTCCCTACCCCATCAATTTTATATCACTAGATGCCAAACGCATTCTACTAATCCTGTATACATACGTATTTTTAAACATGAGCATTTTAACAATGTACAGTAAAGTGATTTTTAAGGTTGTAAACTTAAATCAGAAAACAAAACCAAACCGTACCTGTCCGTGTAGTCCCGCCCCCTGGAGGAGCCTTTGCTGCCATGTCATCCCACCTTAAACTCGCCCACAGTAACCGTAACATAAGGCTTACTCCGGCTAAGGACTTCACAGTTTGCAGTCTATACCTGAAAGAAAAACCCAAAGAAACCATGTAGAGACTTTCTAGTAAACTCAAGGACTATATTTCTTATCCTATATGAATTCAGTTTTTCTAGTAGGGTTCTGAATGCACTTTGGCAACTATCATTTCCTTAACAGAAGACCTTTTTTATTCCTAGGTATAACATGCACCAATAACTTAAAAAGGGTCTAGAGTCACTTCAAATATCATATTTCAGGGAGAGATTGATAGGGCAATAATATGAAAATTTTTTAATAAATTGAAACTAATTTTACAATATTTTTAAGAATTACAATAAAGAACATGTATAGAGATACAATATCATTTTAATGAAGAAAAGGTATTTTGAAGGAGGATAAAAATTTGACTATGGGTTTCAAGAAGACAAATAAAACCCCCTGGAAAATGTATAAATTTTATCAAATAAAAAAAACCAAAAACCCAACCACCACCAAACAACCTAAAAAATTCAACAAGAAAATTCTGAAAATCGGCAACTCCTTAAAGCATCAACCGGATGACGAATACAGCTAATGTTAGTGACATTTTAATGGTGCAATTTTGGGGCTCCTATAGCGAGTATAATGCAGCATTAGAAAAACGAAAAAGGCTAATACTGTATTTTATTAGTTACTAATATGGTGACAAAGGAATCAGTCTTCAGGGTTTCTCTAAGTTTTGTGTGTCAAGCTATTGAACATTTTAGACATTCTTTTTAAATAAAAGTAAAGACACATCTCAAAATGAATTTTACTCAACTTCAAAGTATACCAAAAGAGCATTAACTCTAATACATTTTAAAAACAGCCTCAGGCTGCCAATCCTTTAATTTTTTTGCCAATCTTTTTTAATGGGCTTAATGTAATTAAGTACATTTTCTTTACTTAAATGAATATACTGTTGATTGTAGAGAAAAGCCAATGGATTGAAAAATCATTTCCTCCTCTACAACAGGAGAAGGGCAATCTCAGGCGAGACGGCATTTTAGTCTTAACCTTACACTTGTTGTTTTGTAGTGCTGAGTTGGAAGTAACCAATAGCTAGCCTTATTAGCAGGTTTTCAGAGGCAGTAAATTAGAAGGAAGGAGACTGCCCATCCCTCTCCCTCAGAGCAGCTGGTGGATTTGAACTGTGTACCTTTTGTAGTGCAGCACAGCTTCTTACAAACTAGGCCACCAGAGCTTTAGTCAAAAGTTGCTTTAGTTTCTTCAGTTTCCATAATTATGTTTGACATCAGTTCTTTGTGAAATGCTCATTCTTTAACCGGGGCAGAGCAAATCCTAAGGAGAGGAGGGCGGCTGGCTAAACAGGCAGGTCCCAGGAGGAGAAATTATTTGTCACTGGCAGACCACACCCTAGAGAAGTGTTTGAGGAACTTTGGGCTCACGAGGGAAAGCAAATTACCATGTATCTCGATTGGGAAGATTCCCTTCTTGCTCTCCACTTCTTGCCTTAATCTCTCTTCATGGTCAAATGGCAACCTAAGTGGCCTGGAAGCTCTCTCTCTGCTCTCAAGGAGCTCTAACTAGTGAACATCTGGCTTGGCTCAGCGGGAGGAAGTAGAGCTTTCCCGGTCTCAAAGGACAGGTTAAGGTGTGGAGGTGGAGGCGGCTGAGGGAAGGCAAGGGGTATATGTACTCTAAGGAAGGTAAAGTATAGAGAGCAAGCCACCCTTCATCCAGAGGCCACAGTCGGTGTGTGACGCACAAGGAGGGGTGTGGAGGTGCAGCAAAAGAGAAAGGTGCCAGGTGAGAAGGCAGAGGGCTGAGTGTGCTGCACCCAACTGGACACATTAAGGATTTTGTATGTATGTATGAAATGGAGCCAGTAATGGTTGAGTTGTAAGGGAAGAACTTCTCAAAGATGTGACTGACTGGTGACAAATGGCTTCCTGCTCCCTTTCCCTCATCCCTACACAAACAATCGTGTCCCCTCGTGTGCCTCATGCTCACTCAGAATAGCACAGGACAGAGATACGCACTTTAGGAGGCCATGAAGGACAACTAGCAGTTCAACGTGATAACGAGACACAGAATCAGGGCCTGGGGGGGAAGAGATAGTACAGAGAGGCCTTCATGAGCCCGACAAGTTTCATCATTATTGCTGAACCTTAAGTTAAGTTAAGTGATACACTTAACGCCTGGCATTCCTGGCTCCTCCTCTAGGCACCACATTAGGCACGTGTGAGGGTGAAAATGCTTCACACAATTTATTTGTAAAAGATATTCTAAAATAAAAAAGAATTAACATATTTAACCATGCCTCCACTAGAAAAACTGTATCTTTCTCAATTCTGACAAATTAAGACATATATCTGAAGGCAATTATCTGTTATAAAAGTATTCCTTTCAATAGAAAATGAGAAATTCACTGAACAGAACTGAGCACACAGTGCACATAAACTCACAATAATACAAGGCTTTCGAGACCCAGCCCCATGCAGAAGCGGACCCAGAACAACATGGTCAGGACTGGCGGCTACTTCTCCTAGAGCTGAGAGCAAAGGACTTCCAGGGCGAGCCGACCGTCCAATTCAGAATCGGAAGGAGCAGAAAGGCCAGACTGCACGCCTGCCAGGTCACTGTACTACTCAAAAGTTTCTGTACATAGTAACTTTTCCAGTGGGAAAGAAGTTACCTGCAGGACAGTCAAGGATACATTTTGGGACCGCTCTCAATGAAGAAAGCAGAAAAGTGCAGAGTAATCCTACAAATCCATGAATTGTAATGAAGATTTCCTTGATTCCCTGCAGGATTCTGCAAATCCTTCATTGCAGGCCCTGCAGAGAAATTGTACTTTTCAGCTGTCTCTATTGAATGTGTAATGGAGTGATGATATTTTAAAGTCAAATCAAAAGATGAGTTACAAAAACCTTGGTTCAACAAACTCTGACTGGTTGGTACTAATAAATGCATTCTTTCGTAAAAGTATGCCCATTCTTTTCTGGTTGTAATAGAAAGGAAACAAAAGTATGGTGTTCATTTAAAGAAAGGAGAAACATATTAAAAGACCCACAGGAATGAAGCCTACAAAGAAAAAGAGTTACTGCTTAGTAACTTGAAGTAACAGTCTTTGTTTTAAATTTTTTTAATTTTATTTTTTTATGTGTGTACTGTCAAATCAGATCTGACTGCTACAGGAGGAAATTGTCCCTCCTTCTTCAGCAGAGCATCCAGTAAATTCAAACCGCACACCCCGGGGATGGCAGTGCAGCTTCTTGCCACTAGGCCACCAGAGCTCACCTGAAGTAACATTCTAAAGGTAAGCTAAGAATAACTAAGACTGGTCCAGATTTCTGAGCAGACCTCAAAGAATCTAGTATTTCTAATGTTTATGTCCCATCCTTTTCAATTATGAAGATACAAAGATAATAGTAATATGAAAAAGAAAAGTATAGACATTTATGTGCAATTACACAGCAGATAAACCACTATTCTGGACTGAAGGACTCCAGGCACTGTTGGTTGGACTTTGTCTCTCCATGGTCAAAGGCTAGTTAAGCTCTAACTTCCAAACACTTTTTGGAAGCTCCTTGCTCTATTGCGAATGTGCGATTTTATAACAAACAATACTAGCTTGTGATTCATTCTCAAAATAGAAAAATACCCAAAGTGCTTTAAATTAATTCTGGGTCACAAAACATTCACAGAAAATACTAAGGATCCCTTTTCTCTTTTTCCTTCCCTCTTCTCTCTTTCTTGTTGTGTGCTGTCGAATCTGATCTGACTGGCACAGGAGGAGACTGCCCCTCCTTCTCCAGTGGAGCATCTGGTGGATATGAACCATGTGACTTCAGGATTGCAGTATAAGGACTCCCTTTTCTGAGGTGAATAATGGAAAACTCTAAAGACATTATTATCACGCAAATAAATTGTATTAGACAGATGTCCACATTATAGTGCTCTTTTATAATTTATGGACATTGTCTTATATTTTTATGAATTCTCTAATAGAAATAAAATACATTCCTGAAAGCTGGTGATAATCTTGTTCCTTGAGCAAGCTCATCACAGTAACCTGGAAACATTTGACCACAAAAGCAACCTTATTTGACAAGTTTCTTTTTTGAAAAGTAAAAATTTTAATTTGAAAGGATTCCTTAGGTTCAGAATCTTTATACATTTTCCCTAAGTAAACTTTAGTACCTCCCAGCTGGTGAGGCTTAAAGTTTTATTTCCATTACTAACGTGGGCCATTAAACATATGATTCATACCTCTATTACCTTGTGTTTCTTTAAAATTAGATACTCATATTAGACAATTTTATTAAAACTTTCTCCCTTTCCCAAGACATTTTAAAGTACATACCTCCAAGTGATACCAAAGGTTGGTCTGGGAGAAGGGTACGGCCATATATCCAAAGCAGGTTTTGCATTGTAATTAAAGTATGGGACTTCTCGGATGCCTCCTTTTCTGGCCAACTTTTTTAAGTCATCATTAGGCAAAACAAATATGCTCTTCTTGCTGCTCTTAGTAACAAACTTTCTATATGACGGCAGAGCTGTACCTGAGCGAGTCTTCTTGGGTCTTGAAAACTTCATCAGTTTCACCTTGTCCCTTGTGGAATACTCTTTGCTCACAGTCATAGATGTTACCAAGGTGCCTCCTGCAGTGGTGAGCGAGTCTGTCACTGTTGTGGTGACCACCGTTTTGCTCTGCTCCTTTATGGAGATAACGTCCACACTGCTGCCCGTGGAGGGCGTGGAAAGCTTTGTCACTGTGGTGGTGGTGGTGGTGACAGTGGACCTAGCACAATTTTCGGTGGAAGAGACCACAGTTTGCTTATCGCCTTTGGCAACTTTAATCACAGTTTTGGATGCTGTGGCCACTGTGGATGTCATGGTGGTGACTTCTGTGATGACTGTTTTTCTTTTGGCTTCTCCATTGACATTTTCATCTTTGTTACCAGGCAGGCAATTTTCTTCGATACAATCACTGCTGAGGTTCGAATCCTCTCCAGAAGTAATAGGTGACGGAGTAACTTTCTTCACTACTGAGGTCTCAACTTCCATGCCATCTACCTGATGAATGGATCTTCTTCGGGACTGAAAGGGTGGAGGCGTGCTAGTCTGTGCACCCTCAGAGTCCTGGGTTGACAGCATAGTCTCAAGGCCATCCTGGCAGTCACGTTCAGGATCTGAAGAACCAAGGAATCTTGTTCCCAAGTTTTTCTTTTCATTGGAATCTTCCATGATGACATCACCATTCATCAGTGGCTTTGCAGGAGAGTCCTTAACAGTTAATGACTTAGCATCCTTTTCAGGAACAATTTTACTGATATTATTAACCTTTGGTTCAACATTGGCACACTCAGAGATTTCTTTCAAATAAGCTTTAGGTTTAGTATCTTTTCCATTTATTTGAAATGCACTTCCTTTTTGCCCTTTCTTTTCAGACTCTCGGTTTTCATTATTTTTCTTGTCAGTGATATTTTTAAGATTTATTTGGTCCACACATTTACTAACTTGTCTCCCCTCTAACTTTGGTTCTTGATTTAATTTCTTGCCGTTTGCTTCAGACACCTTGGCATGACGTCTGTCGTCACGGTTTCCAGGGGATTTACTGGAAACAAACTCACGTTTCAATGGTTCCAAGTTGTTAAGACCTTGTTCATTGGTTACGGACTGTTCGGAAAGACTTTCATTGCTATTCTGAATAATCATATCTTCTTCACTGCTGTCCTGCACAGACATAGTGTCAGAACTATTTTCCAAAGCACTATTATATTCAGAGTCACATCCTAATTTTCCTTCAAAGTCCAGGGCTTTTGACAGAGATTGGGCATCTCTGTCACTAGTACTTCTAGGTATTGATGGAAGTAGAGAGCTCTCTGAAGGAGAAACAATGGTGTCTTCATCTTCCTGCAGGACTGGTTTTCTGTTCTTATAGATCAAAGCACCAATTTCATTTGCACTGGATACTTTGGTGTCATCCATGAGAAAGCTACTTCCTTTTGTTCGAACAGTCCTGGGTTCTTGGCCTTTACTGGTGAGTTCAGAGAGACTGTCATCCATGTCACCACGCACAGAACTCTGTTTGTAAAAGTCTGTCTCTGGGCTCTGAATGGAGACATCATCTATCATTTGATCCTTTGGAAGAAGTTTTTTTGTGGTATGGTTAGAGTTGCTGATTCCAAGAAGAGAGGAATCACTTTGTGAGCACCCTTGATTCAAATCTTCAGATTTCTCATCAATTATATTACGACTCTGTTCTTGTCTAAGCAAGTCACACCCTTCTTTAACTTTTGTTATCACTGGTGATTCAGATGAGCTTTTCAAAGAACCTGAAGATGTCTTTCCTGTACTTTTAATCCCACCCTCCAACTTAATTTTTTCTAGGCGCTGTTTCTCTTCCAGTGTAAACTGTTTAATTCTTCTTTCAAGGAGTCCATCTAATTTGGATGATTTTATTTTCTTTTTATAACTAGTCCTTAGATGAAAACCCTCACTGACATTGACAACATCAACTTGAGAAATTTCTTGGCAAGTCATGTGGGACTCTTCTCTGACATCATCATCATCACCATCATCATCGTCAATTTCCATTGGTTCTTCCTTGAAGGATTTGTCATTATCAGAATCGAAAACTTCCTTTACATCTGTGAGATAAAGACATTTACATGACATTTAGTCTGAAATGTAGAATTCAAAACAACATCTGATTCCTTATTTTCACTCAAGAGGTTAAATATATGTATGTGTGTGTGTGTGTGTGTGTGTGTGTGTATGTATGTATGTATATATATATATATATATATATATACCTTCCCCTCCCCACCTGGAAATTTCCTAGTATATCATTAAAACAGGTCAATGGACAGGCTAACACAGTAAAACTGCACAGATATTACAAATACGGAAATATTCTGATTCTTAGAAACGAAACTTGGAAGAGCACAATGAAAATTCTCAGTATAAGAAAGGTGACTGCATGGATCAGAATCTTGGTGTAAGAATTTAGTCTTTAATTACTACAAATTATCTAGCTTATAGAGGAAAACATTTTTACAATATACACTGTAAGACACAATGTGTAACACTCTTACACATATATCCAAGATAAATGAAAACGTATGTCCATACCATCTGTGCTTGATTGTTCATACCAGCATTATTCACAACAATCAAAATGTTGTAACAATCCAAATGCTCAGGAACTGATGAATCAAAATATTATACCCATATAAAAATAAAAAATATAGTGTACCTATGAGATGGAATTTTTTTTATTATTATGTTGTGTGTGTGTGTACTGTCAAATTGGAACTGACTGGTATAGGAGGAGATTGCCTCTCTTCAAACCGCATACCTCTTGGGATTGCAGTGCAGCTTCTTGCCACTAGGCCACCAGAGCTCCCTGGAATTACTTAGGGTGTTTTTTTAAAAAAAAAAAAAAGAAAAAGAAATGGAGTACTGGCTCACCCTATAATATAGATGAACCCTAAAAACATTTTAGGTGAAAAATATCAGACACAAAGTAACATAGCATAAATTATTCCATTGCTATGGGATGCCCAGGATACTCTCATCTACAGAAATATACAGCAAATCGCTGGTTTTCAGATTTGAGGACTATGGGCTTAGGATGTGAGTTATAAAAGGTGTAAGATTTATTTTGAGTAAAGAAAATGTGCTAAAATTGACTGTGATGATTGAGGAACTCTTCAAACAATAAAGGTCATTGACATTTCAAATGGGTTAATTATGTAGTATGGGATTTTTTTAAAAAATTGAATTATTTTTTACGTGTATCATCAAATCAGATCTGACTGGTACAGGAGGAGATTGCCCCCTCCTTCTCCAGCAGAGCATCTGGTGGATTTGAACCACGTACCTCTGGGATTGCAGTGCAGCGTCTTGGCAACCAGAGCTCTCTCGTAGTATGGGATTTGTATCTTAACAAAGTTCTCATTTGAGGGGGGAAAAGAGGCAATGTAGCAGCTTCCTACAGTGGGTACTAGATCTAATGTACTCTTATTACCCCCTCGCTACCTCCCCATTTGATTCTTTTTACCTTGGTCCTTCTCGGTAATCTTTGAAATGTCCATTTCAGTATGATCTAATCCTCTTGCAGCTTCTGAATCTTTTACCTCGTCTTTTTCAGAATCCAGCTCTACTTTTACCTTTTTGGGACTTCGTGGGCTCTTTCTTTTATCTAAGTCATCCATATCTTCATCCTTAATATTTTTGGCTAAAAAAACCCCATATATTTAATAATTGTAAGGGTTTCAAATACGAGCAATTTACTTTTCAAATACAAGCAATATACTTTACTATATCTAAGTAAGTAGAATTAAGATTTTCCCACAATCTACACTATATATTTTTTATTCAAAACAAACAAACAAAAAAGGTTGAATGACTGACCTAAAAACTTGGCCTATCTGAAAATGGAGTGAAAATCAGATGATTGAGTTAATTTTCTAATCATGAACATAGTGAATGTGATAAAGCTTCCAGAAACACTCTCCATTTTGGTTTGAAATATATATGTTTTTTTGGGAAATAACAAGATTTATGAGATATCTTTTAAAATACTAAGTATTTTCAAAAACTAAGGTTTAAAAAATTCAAACATGTTTTCACAGAGTTTGATAACTACTGAAGTTGAGTGACGGCTCCATGTGATTTCATTATTTCAAGTCTCAATTTTTGTGACATTTCAAATTTTTCATAATGAGAAAAATAATGGAAAGCAACCCAAACAAATCACTAAGACAGAATTATGTCAATATGAATCTTCTTCAACTTTAGAGACATTTTCCTCCGTTTCATTTTCTTCTATTTTTGACCTTAAGTATCTTAAGAACTTAACAAGATGTACTCATGTGTTATTTTTTAAACGAGTGATCACTTTCAGAAGGAACTGGCTGAGAGAAAGGAAGAAAATGCCATGGGGGTGGGGCTGGGGAACTGTACCTAGTATGTGTGAAAAGGGCTGAAAAGCATCTTAAAAAGGAGAAATGGGGCTGTGCTTGGTTTCAACATGAAATAAAAGGGGAAAATAACCAGACCATCCCTAAATGGATTACTGATTTTATTCAAGGATTGTTTAATTATTTTAGATCAGTTGGACAATATTTTTTCAGCATTTCACGTAGCTAACAAAGAGCTGCAGCAGGTAGTGATTGGAAAGAACACATCATGCCATAAATCAGCAAATTAACCCTGGACCACTAACAGAATTATTCCTGAAAATTGGGCACTGGAAGCTGGAGACGTAGCTCTAGCTAGGGTTTCATTCTTCTTTAGGTAATGAACTCCAGTATATAAGTTCAGTTGTCCACAAAATAATCTGCTTATGTAACAATTATTGAACTACAAGATCTCTTAAAAAGGTGATCTGCTCCAGGAGTTCCATGTTTCTAATACTGTCATCATTGGCCTGTACCATCCGCTGAGTTACTACCTCATTTATGTATCACTTCCTTTCTGAGTTTGTTATGGACTGAAATACAGAAATGAGTAGATCTACAACTTTAAAGGAAGTCATGGAATAGCAAATTTAAGATTTCAGAAAAAACAGGATCAGGATAATAAAACCTTTCTGTTTATAAACATTCTAGAAGCCCCATCTTTACATAAAATCTTAAACATTAAGATCTAGTGAATAAACGTTAATTTCAAATAAAGTTTATCATTAATGAAGCATATTAGTAATTTTGATACTGCAAAACACTCTTATTCAAAATATCACAGGATTTCTAAAAATTAACACAAATAAAAAATGGCTGTGCAAGAAAAAATTGACTTACTTTCTTCTAATGATTTTCTGTAATGCACGTTAGTGTTGCCAGGTAATTTAGGAAGAAATCTATAAACATGAGTTTTACTAATCCAGCTCCAACCACCATATCCTGTTACTCTGTATTCTTCTCCTTTTTGTTTCCAAACCTGGTGAGAATAAAAACACTCCTTATTATACAAAATGTATTTAATAATACACTTATTAAATAAGAATGACACCACCTCTAAAGTTCAAGAGGTTTTATACATTTTTGCCAGACAAGACCTTTACGATTCTTAAAGCTATAAATTTTTACAGAAGCGGGTGGCTGCATCCTTCATTTGAGGAGCATCTGGTAGGTTTGAGAGTTGACTTTAGAGGTAACGGTCAAATGATAACCACGGTGCCACCAGGAATTCCTCCTAACATGACTACTAAGCACAGTAAAAGAAACAGAATTTACCATTCAATTTCATTTTACAAGAAGGTAAAGTTTTATTAAGAGGAAAAAGGAATGACTGTTAAGAAGCATGAAGATTTTGTTAAGGGTGGCAAGGATAATGTAGAAACAGAGATATAGGTGGCTGCCCAGTAGTATTAGTATATAGACTATAATTAATGTCAGTGAATCCCACATGCAAGAACATACATGTGAAAATAAGAACTCTTTTGTTAATTATGGATTTTTACCGAAATTTCAAATGAAAGGGGCAAAAAATGGAAAATTCATCAAAGAATTTAATGATCAAGGATTCTCAGATGAAATATAAAATGAACATAACTTTACAGTTTTATAAGAAACTGGTCCAATAACTTTTATACATTACTAATATAAACTTATCCTGTAAAAAATTGCAAGATTTCTCTCACCCCAACTATTTAAGATTGTCAAAATGGGAAAAAAATTTAAATATTCATACCACATAGGAAAGGTTAAAAAACTAGCTATTTCAAATTGGTCTAGTGTTTACTATTGTTATGAAACAAATTGTCTATGAATGACTGAATGAAAAATCAATGATTTGAAAACTCAAATAAAAAAATAAACTCAAACTTAAAAATTTGATTAATTAAAAAGAAACAAAAAGACTGTAAAAATTACCTGATGTTTGACTGGAAATGTATATTTTACCCATGTAGCTTGCTGCATTGTTTCTTCTTCTTCTTGTTTTTTCTCTTTTTTTTTAACTTTCTCTTTTTCTTCTCTTTCAATTGATGTCATTCTGTGTAATCTAAGAATATATAGAAAGAAATGTTACTTTAAAATTAAATAATGTAAATTATTAAAAAAAGAAAATTTAACTGTAATCCTGAAGGCTAAACAAAAAACCACTATTGATTTGATTCCAACAAAGTAACACAACAGGACAGAGAAGACTCACAATCTATCATTTTTTCTTCCATCTTCTGCCCTTTCGATTAACAGTCCAGCCCAGTGCTACCTAAGTTTCTGATTTCTGCAACCTTGACTACCTCAAATGATCTACAAAGATGTGTAATTTCATAAAAAAGGGGAGGGGGGAAGAAAATCATATAAAAAGACAAAACCAAAAATTCATCCTTTCCATCCGTATGCCTCTCCATAAAAAATACTTGCTCATGACTTACACCTACAAATTACTGTAAGCCTCTATCAACATTTATATAACTCTTTAAATAGTCTACTAGGTATTTACACAAGAGTTGTTACTCAGATTTAAAGAACTACACTTGGAGATCTTCCTATATCAGAATATACAGATTTTTTTGAAAACTTAAATATCTCTGAATGACATAATATGAAAGATCTTTTTAAAAGGATGCCTAATTTTTCTTATTTTAATATTTTTCAAAATGACTGATAAATTAAAAAAAGGATTTTCTCTCTAGTCCAGGATTTAAAAGCTTTTACAGAGTCCATGACAGTATGTAAACTTTTTACATCCATAAAACCTACAAAGACAGGAGTGTTGTCTAAGAGTCCTAGTGGTGGAAAAGCTCCTTTTAAGAACAGGGGATGCCAATTTCACACGTGAAATTATATGGAAAGACTTGGATATGCAGAGGGGTGCTAAAAAGATGGGAGAGAAATCTTAAGTTCTTTCCATTTCTACTCAATGACACCAGCTTCCAACACACACTCTCCTATGGATTCTCCCCCCACCCCCTTTCCTTAGGTCTGTTTTTAAGGTTTCGGAATCCAGTTTCTCCCAGGCTCAGAATGCACACCAATGAATTGCCTAGTACAACAAACTCCATTATTTTCTACAAACCACACCACATGCACCTGAACGCTCTGTAGCTCACAGTTACCCTACAGGACAGAGTAGAAACACGTTATACCTTTTCTAAGGATGCTCTTTCTGGAAGCAAACTGCCTCTTATAGATTCTAGCAAACTGACCGGAGGAGGAATAGGAGTGTGGATTCTCACTAGGAACTAAAACCCCACAGCACTCTTGGACCTGGGGCGAGGGAAAAGCCCTGACAGCCGAGCAGTGGGATGCTGCTGTCAATGGTGAGGTGATCTCCAGCTTGACCACCACATTGCTGTCAATCACACACTCACTCGTTTTCCACATCCTCACTGAAAAGGAATTATTTATCAAAGTGTTAGCCCAACGAGGGTAAGAAAAATATTGTCCCATTGGTATTTTTTTTTAAATTATGAGAGAAATAATAATTTTTAATATCTACTGGCCTTTCACATTAATTTTTCTGTAAAATGCCTGTTCAAGTCATCTGTCTTTTTTACACTGGACTATTTATCCTTTTAATTTATAAAAGATCTTTGTCAAACAAAGAAATTTTCCATTTGTTCTGAAAATATTTTTTTTCCTCATTTTGTCATCTGTCTTTTTTTTTAGTTTGATTATAATACTATTTTCCACACAGAATTTTAAAATATATGTATCCACTTTCCTCTATCGCATCTGGATTTTACATCTGTTCAAAAAAGAAAGTATTACAGTAAAAACAAATAAATTAATCCATACTCTCTTACTGAAACTTTGTGAGCTTAATTATATTTTTTAACACCTTTCACTATTTTGTGTCGGGTAAGGAATCTAAGCTATACTTTGCCTAAATATCATTTCTTTACCTAGTTAGGAGTAGTGCAACATTTTCTAAATTCACTACCCCCTTCTATCATTTACTACTTTTCTAGCACAGATTGATCTGATGAGTCTAATTTCAAACATGTTCTAAAACCAGGTCCGTGTTTTAGAACGTCTGAGTTGTTCATGCACACTGATTTTTCTAAATGAGTATTAATATTATTTTGGCTAAATCTCACCCACTTCAAGGGAGAAAATTCTATTCACAGTGTAAATGAATCAAATTATTAGGAGATCAACTAAGAGAAATAACATCTTTTGAAAATAATATGTATTATTAATTTCTCTTTTATATGTTGTCAGTACTAAAGCAAAGCTCCTAGGGAAATATAAACATCATAGAGTCCGGCTGTAGCATTCTGGAGAACTTACAATAGACAAGAGTCTAGTGAAACCCTAACAAGTCCTGCAAGATACTGGGCTCCCCACAATCAGGGATGTGACAGTGAGTCCTGATACATGAGATTTGCATCTATGCCTTTTTATCTTTGATACTCTAAATATTATCTAGTTATATATACACAACACACACACACACACACACGTGTGTGTGTGTGTTATGCATACACATACTTATGTATTTGTGTACACATAATTAAAATAAAGGGGGACACAGTTATGGATACTTTGTAGACATAATCAAACACTGTGTAGAATGGATTTACTGGTTTGAAAGTTTAGGACCCATCTCGTGGGATAACTTAGGCAACTGGCATAATTCAGTCCATAAAACTTTTGTTCTACAGGCTAGTTTGATAAAACGGTATCTGAGGTCTTCAAGGCTCATGAGCAGCCATCTAAGGGGCTGGTCTCTGTTTGTCTGGAGCAAAAAAGAAAGAAGGAAAACAAAGACTCCAAAAAGACACTAGTCTCCAGATCTAATAACCCCTCAGACCATGGCTTCATCTAGCCTGAGCCAGAGAACTACTCACTGTTCTGTCAGGAACACAGTGAAACTCAAAACCCAAACTCCCTGTCAGCGAGTCTGTTCTGACTCATGGTCGTCCTTCACTGGCCTTCCAAGGCTGTAAATCTTAATGGGAAGAGACTGCCCAACTATCTTGCACAGAATATTTTATGCCACCAGAGTGCCCAGAGAAAAATTTAGAACAAGATGCAATACTTTTTTAAAGGTCAGACTTAACAGGGCTGGGCAGAGACTGGAGCAATTCCCAAGATTGTCATTCTGAGCTAAATCTCTGGGTTAAAACTATACCTGAGGTCACTTCATAATACACAATATACAATACACAATACACTAGCTCATAAAAAAGGAGTATTAGCAAAAACCAGATTAGCTCATGAAAGAAAATATCACCAGTGAGGACTGTGTTCCTTTACAAAATCATCTATTTGAGATGAAATGGTCAACACTCACCCTAAAACAAAGAGGAAAAGGTGAAATGGGGCAAGAAAGTCAGACTAAGGGAAATGCAATAGCCAGGAAGGAAACTAGAACAGGGACACACTGTGAAAAATCTAAGCAATCACTGAGAAATATACTTAGAAATTGTTAAATGAGAACCAAATTTATTTAAGCTCTGATTCAAAGCAAAGTCAAGCAATATTTGAAAATAGTAAAATTATTTTAGAAAGTCTTAAATACTTGGTATAACACAAAAGTAAAAAAGCTTTATACCTCTGAATAATTACCATCGTTTTATTGACTTTTTAATATTTTTTTCCCTTTTCACATCTTTATTCTTTAGAAACTTTTTAAAGACTAAAAAAGAAATCCATTAGGGCTAAGAATTAGATTTAAGTCACAAAATTTCTTTCTTTCTTAACCCCCTGCTAAAATAACACAGCTCTGCTCTACTTAGTAGCTGCATGAAGCTCAGGGCCACTGGAACACTCAGCGAGAGAAGAGAACAGATTCTCAACCTTGAAAAAAGCTATAAAACAGAGGCCTGCAACGTTTGAAAAGAGATACCCAAAAAATGCTTTTTACTTTAGAAAATGGGGTTGTTGTTGTTGTTGTTGTTTTTTAAAAAAATCTTCATAAAACCGATCTTATTTGATCTTTGGTAGAACACTGTGTTATAAATAAATGCTATTATTCATCAATGTTTATATCTTGTAAAGAAGGAAAAGGATAAGAAAGCCAATGCTCACATACATTCATTTTCATTGATAATTAACTGGTATTTCCCAAAGAAATCCATATTCATCATTCCCAAGCTGAGAACCCACTTACCTAGTATGTCCTAAAGATTCTCGCCATATCGGCAGCATCACAACCGGCTTAACTGCACACTCCAAAATAGCCAAAGCCAGGGCAAATTCTCTGGGTTTGCTGCACATCTGAACTGCCTTGATCCAATTTGCCCTGTATTTCAGAATAAAAGAAAAAAAAATTATTTCACTTAGTTGACCTGAAACGTGTAAGGGTTCTTATTTACGATGATCTCATCTCATAATCCACATACTTCTAGGTTAAGAAGGTATAAATATACTACATTGTATCAACATAGATTCTGGCTCAAAGAAACGCAGACTGTAAAGGTAGGAAGGAGTTCCAGAGGTCATTCAGTCCTCCACAATTTTTTAAACCTACCACAATGTTCTGGAACCCTATCTAGCCTCCACTTGATTCCAGAGACAAAGATAACTTTCCAGAAATGTACCAAATGCTGGTGCTGGCTCAGTACATAGAAGCCTCACTGTTGTATTAACCAAAGTGAGTGACTTCATTCAATCAGTTCACCGGCAGTTACGTTAGTAAAGTGCACTCCTCTACTTTGAATAAAACCTCAGCATGGTTAGTTGTAGTACATGCACCTCAGTTTCCTTTACCTGTGTGAAGCCCAATTAGGGTGAAGAAAGGAAGAAGGGATGTTGTTTTCTAGTTGGGTGATAGTCAGTCTCAGAGTGGATATGGTAAGAACTTTGGACCCATGAACAGAACCATTCCATTTGAACTCTCCTGCCGGAGTCAGGCAGAATTTATGTGCAAGGTGCCTCCTTTTATCATGATCTTCTCTGTGTTGGTGCTTATTTAAAGCGAACGAGTTGGTGGAGTACTGATTGTGATAGACGCGATACTTCCCTTCTTGACCCAATTTAAAATAGTTGTTGATATTTCCTTTCATGACCACATCTTTCTTGGTGCTCAATCGTGAGATTTCACCTTGAGAGTTAACAACCAGAACCTGTCAAAGAAAAAAGAATGATTTCTTTGTTGCTATCAAAAATCTGATATCTTTTAATAATTTTCACACAACCATTTCAAATAATAACTACACAATAACATCTTATAAATGGAACTTTTTAAAAAAATTTTTTTTATTTTTTTGTGTGTACCATCAAATCAGGTATGACTGATACAAGAGGAGATTGTCCCTCCTTCTCCAGCAGAGCATCTGGGATTGCAGTGCAGCTTCTTGCCATATCAGTGGAACTTTTAAAAGATAAAAACTCAAGTTTAAAAGCTAATTGTTTATAATTAAGGCTACAGAAAAGAAAGAAAACATTTATTAGTGTTATCTGTATGTCAAGGAGCACTGGCTGTGTTGTTGTTGATTGCCTTTGAGTTGAGCACAACTCATAACAATCCTATGAACAAAAGGCCTGATGCCTTTCTGTAACTGTGGACATTTATCCAAGTTCATAGTTTCCGGAGGCATTGTAGGTTAACAGTTAGCCAAGGTCAGTGGTTCAAACTCACTTGCTGATCCACAGGAGAAAGGGGGAGAATTTGCTTCTGTAAATATTTACAGCCTCAGAAATGCTACAGGGTATTTCTACTACCCAACCACATAGGGTGGGATGGAGTTGAGATCTACTTAATAGCAGTGTATAGTAGACATTAGTCCCTATTAAGTATATTCATGTATCTTGAATATACGCATGAAATGACATATAACTGTATCATTTCTTCAGTTTAGACATGTATTTTAAGGGAAAGGTAGAGGACTACATGTACTAGCATCTCTAAAAATACATTCCTAAAAATACTCTTTGTTCTGCATTTAGCAATTCTAACATAAGAGCCTATAGATACCTTTAAACTGGGTTTTCAAACATTTTATTCCAGCCCTTTTGTGGACTGTAAAAGCAACAGTGTGTTGTCTTAATAAGCTTTCTGAAAAATGAGATCTCATACAGTAGACTAGACTTGCAAGAAAACCGATTGCTGTCCATACTTCAAGGCCACATACCATTTCAGAAGACTTTTGAACACATGTTGCTTTGAAAAACATTATTTCCCATTAAGCTTTCCAACCAAAGAGACACTGGAAAGCCATTTTCCTGGCATTAAAATATTATTTTTTTAAAAGAGATGATTCTATATTATTTCATGTCTATCCTGTGACATACAGCTATAGTTATAGCTCTGTCACCATGGCTAGCTGGGGAGCAGAGATACTGAGCTGTCACATCAAATCTATTATTGTCCATAAGCAGAACTGAGGTGAAACGCTGTTGATGCACTGGAGGCTCTATCTTTTAGCTACAAGTTAAATACTATGACAATAGCTAGAACCAAACATTAAATCATGTACAGTTTAAACCAATATATGAAAAAGAAGCTTCTATTTCTTTTATAGGATTATATATATTTTTTCATTTATTGAGAGAGAGTGTGTGTGTGAGAGAGAGAGAGAGAAAGACCACAAGAGCGCACGAGAGAGCGCCCTCACCCAAGCGTGAGCGCCCTGGTGGCCTAGTTAAGAAGCTGCGCTGCAATCCTGAATGCATGTGGTTTGGAATCCATCAGCTGCTCCACAGGAGAAGGATGGGCAGTCTCCTTCCGTGCAATTCAGTGCCTCTGAAAACCCACTGGAGGGTCAGGTATGGATTGGTTTCAACTTGGGGGCACATGACAAACAACAACTATATAT